AGGAGACTTACTGTATTATATATTTCAATTATTAACTTAGATCTGGTCTAAAGAGCTAAACCTACAAATACTGATTTTAAATATTTTTTTTTAATGAACTCCTTCTGCTTAGAAGCTGTAACTGCCCCTTTTGCTTCAATCTTACCAGCAATTACACAAAGCTTAGTAATAATGTAAATCATTGTATTTTACAACTTAATTGTAAACAAGTATCAACATGTGAAAGTACTCCAATTTCCATCATAACATAAACCACTTGAAAGAGAGTAGAATATGAATCACACTGCTAGCTGTAGCTTAAAATGCAGTATTGCCCATCACAGACAAAACACATTAAAAACATTTTTTTTAAAAATGAAAAGCAGTAAAGGGTTTTATTAAACTATACTAAATGCAACACCACTATTATGTAACACGTACAGGATACGAATCTATCATTGATTACTTCTAATTCCAACACATGCAGAGAATTATACAAACAATCTCATAATTAAGAACCTCTTTTAACTGATTAACTACAAAGGTGTAACCACATGAAAGTTATCGAAAATGAACAGAAACGAAAGGTTGCAGGCTCCTATAACTGCCTGCTTCTGTATTACAGATAAGGTAAGAATTCCTATGACATTTCAATAAGTGATTTAAAACAGTACTACTAAAATAAATAGAAATCTTGTGAACTGAAGTCCAACCTCCATACACACACCATACAAACCTCAGAATGATCTTCATAGAGATTTAATTGGCTTCAAGTCACATGCATTATTTTTTTAGTTGACATTTTCTCTGGGACTTCCAGACTTTTTGCAACTTCAGTATAAACTCTTCATGGGAATTGCCTATCACTCCGACACACAATTCTCACAGACTGGTTTGGTAAGTTTACACTGAACACCCAGTTATCTTTCAAACTTTTTTACCTTAAAACAAAACCACACAAATCAGATAGGTGATTTATAGTACCATGAAATAGCATAAAGTTTTAATGCAGCCAATCTTGCATAAAATACAAGTCAAGATTTCAGAGAGCTCAAAATTTAATTTGCTAAGGCACCTTATATATTTGTAGTAAATCTTACACTACCTGGCCTGTTGGAATATATATAATTTTAAAAATTATGAAATAAGTGAGGATTAACCTTGAACTGCTTTTTAGGAATGCATGTTAGCTATGTTCTATCCATAAGAGCTCAAAATTCAATGATGTTTACATATACTGTACTATAACTATGTTAGAGATGAACAGTTTATTTACTTTCCGAAAATTATTATAACTAAAGATGAAGGATGGGGGGGGGGGAGACACAGCAAACAGGAATTAATAAATGTAGCAGCCAGTTCGAACAGCCCTGCTAGTTCCCTTCCTGTGGAATGGGAGCTGCAGCCCAGCTGTGCAGCTGTAGCTGTTTCAGGAGTACAACATTCCCCCTTCCACAGTGCACATCCTGAAGGCACAACACAAACAAGCAAACAAGGACTTTGAGCTGGCTTACCGACATCTCGTTCCTCCCAACAACGGAGAACCACATCGCGTCGCAGTCTTTCCCTATCTGCACTGATCTTTCAGAAACAGAGGGAGGCTGTAAAATCACGGCTGAGGAAAGCAGGGAAGGCAAAAAAAAACCGGAAACGAAGAACGAGGGCTTGCTGCCTTGCCTCTGTGATGCTGATGGAGAGAACTCTGAGCTACACGCTAGAACACCATATGGCATTTATCAGCTCGTCCTAGGAAATACCATATCCAGACTGTTACGTAACCTGCCAAGCCACTCTAGACCCTCATTACTCTGCTATAGTTTGGTTAAACTTTCAAAGCTCTTCCCAGCTGCGCTTTCTGCTCTACAAAAACCTATCATTACTCTGCTTTCTCTCTCTCTTTTTGGAAGTGGAAGTCTAAAAGCAGCACATGAAAAAAAAAACAGCGTGCCCCCCCACCCCCATCTCCCCTACTTCCCAATCATCTGGATTCCATAACAAAAAAAGAGAAAGCCAACTGCATTTGGACGGTCAGACATAGAAGACATATGGCCAGGATCAAGACGGCGAGTGAACTGGCTGCCTGGCCTCTGTGTTCCACACAAGCCAGAAGAGCTAAAGTAAACAGAAGACCTTCCAGCAGACGGCAGGAAAACAGGAGCTGACCCTTCGTTTATTATGCTTTCCAAACACGCGACCACAGTCAACTGGTCTCAGCACCACCCACGGAAGCTACACACACATGCAAACAAAAAGATCTCCTGTACTGTAGAAAAACTTTGATTAAATAAGTGAAATCTAACTTTTTTCTTCATGTTGAATATCCAATAAAGCGATCCTGAATATCACCCAGTCTTTTAGAAAGAAAACTTTGATCCTTCAAAAAGTTATGAGCACCTGGCAAAAAAGTGAATGCACACACCCTAGGACAACACATTTGCCTAGACAGTCTGCCAGAAATTTGAATATTTGTCGATTGAAATAGGCCTGCAGATAAAGCAGATCTTTCACCACACAAATGTTACGCAGTGTGCCATAATCCGTGAAAGGTCAACTTGTGACTATGCCACCTTTACTTTCCTAGTGTACTGAAAAAACAACAGAAAACAAGCTTCTAAAATGTATATTGTTTTTCAAAGTGGAACTTCCAGCCATGACTACTAAATGGGTGTTAACAACACAGAGAAGTGTACATTGCTGCCTGTGTCCTGGTGAACATACTACAACACAAAAGGAAAACATCTTGTTTATTTTACTTTTCCTGCCAAAAATAACTCATTGTAAGATGTACACCAATTTCATTGCGTAGTATTGTACGTAAGGCATCAATGCAAGTATACAAGGTTTCCAGCTAACAGTCATGCTAATGAGGTTCATTTAGAGCTAATGCTGCTGTCAATGTCAACTGAGTGCACATGGTCATTAATGAGTGACAATCAGACAAGTGACAAACAGAGTGGTACATTTGTTTTCATGTTAAGTCTAAATGCAGAAAATACCTATATTATTCAGGAAAGAACAAATAACAGACACATTTTTCAAACATTTCAAACAAACTTCATTTGGAAATATTTTTCTGTTTTTAAGCACACTGATGTTTAGTTTTAAAAAAGCAATATGAAATTCTGAGATGCATTATAGGAATATGTCACTAGAAACAGAGATTGTTTTAATTTGTCTTTTGTTAATATTAGATGAAAGGTACTTCTATTTCTGGCTGAATTCTTTCACTGCTTCATGGTGTGCTGACATCACTTGAAATAAAACAAAGTCCACAAAACACTGTGGGCTTCTGCTTCTTATTTAGCAATCTTAGAGAGATGCTATCTACTCAACTCTATGAATGTTTTTGCTCTGTGGTGTGCATCAGTGATGAAAGAAACATTTTAACTGGCCTCTTAAAAAGGATCACCCAGATCTTCTGAATTTATAGAATATATTGTTTTGTTTAAGGAATTATGATATTTTACAAACATGTCACTTATTACATTGAATAATATTTTCTAACCATTAGTGCATTTTAATTCCTCTATGATTGTCTTTAGAAATCAAAATCAACTAAAATTTATATCACTGGAAACAGGCCAGCATTTTTTAGGAAAATCATTAAAGGTCTGTTGTGATACAAATGGATAGAACTTCCGTTATTAGAGCATCAGATACATTTCCTATCACTTTACCTATTTTTATACGTCAATTGTTCAAATAACATTAAAAAAAGGAGTTTTAAACTGTTTTCCATTTTAAAACCATTTGTCCTTCAGTCTTCCAACTCCAGTAACTAAAGTACGAAACAGAACTTTTTAACGCCGATTATGAAACCTGTTCAACATACTGGACTGGTCTCTCTGGAGAATAAATAGAGAGCTCATGTATTTAAAGTGATAAGGAATTTGTTTACTCGTTTTTTATGTGAAATTGAGCTGGTGAGCACTTTGTACTAAACCACTAATATGTAAAGAATTTCTGTATAAACAGACACAGTTTCTTAAATCTACGACAGTACTACAATAAACAGAGCTTAAACCTGCAAGATACCTCCAGAATTGCACAAGTGATAAAGAAAATTCATAGGTAAATTCTTAGTCAAACTTTTCTTATGAGTCACCTATTTTGCCCAAAAAGACAAAGTCTTATTTTTCACATGCTGACAAGACAAAGAGAGAATGATTTGAGAAGCACTTGTACCAGTTTATCTGTCAACACTAAACAAAATGTGCTCCCGGTATGAAGACATATAGCACCTTAAAGCAGAAAAGACATACTGCTTTAAGTATGTCCTACATACAGTTGCACCATGCACCAGTATATTCCAGTGGCAAGATGTAACCAGTACTCACAGCAAGCAAGCATTATATGCAAAACCAGTACCCCAGTTTGCAAGTATATCCAGATCAAGTATACAGGCTGCATTGCTTCTTTCCCGCATTCATCATCCTGAAGGATACTCGTTAGGAAATTATCACGATCATAAAAAGAAACTGACCTGGCTTAGAAAAGAGTGTTTTTCACAACAGGTCCACAGGACTCACATGTTTAGACTGTGGCATAATAATTAAGTAACCTAACTCTACACATCAAAGGTACAAATAACTGAATTTGCAGGTTCACCATTAACATCATGATTTCTATAGCATCAACTAGCTATACAACTAGTGTATCATGTGAACTTCCACATTAAAGATGGTTTGCAAAGAATATTTCACACCAACAACTATAACAATGCTCAAATGATCAAGTTAAAGCCGTTTTGCAAAATGAAATGCAACATTTAAATTAGTGGAGGATTTCACTTTTGCCATCATACCTTTAGAGATCGACAATCCAACACTACTTTCAATCTTTGCCAAATATTAAACTACAGAGACAAAGTTATATCAACTAATACAATTAGTAGGGGAGATGATATGGAGTATTCTAATCTATTTACTGTACAGTAACACAGTGTAACAGTACATCAACCATGACATGTTTGCATCAACCGACTTCCTGCAATTTAAGTTACAATGGAAAAAGCCCCTTACCTTTGCAGCAACAATGCTGAGTCCCATTCCATTGTGCTTCTTTAGAGTGACAGTTACAACTTCTGGCTCCTTACGCATTTGCTTAGTGATGGAAAAATAAAAGAAAATGTTACATTTAGACTGAAGAAACAATAAAGAAAACAACATCTACTGGATCATCTTTAATAGCAATTTTCAGAGTTTCAACCACATTCCATGAAACAAACTGGACAATTCAATTTCTGTTGGGGATGTGTCCTCTCATCCCCAGTTTAGCTGCACTCTCAATTATCAGACTGAAAGATTACTAAAGAATAACAGAACTGCCCCCATAAAACGGATTCTCCAAACAAATTAAATCAATAAATAATCCTTTGTGAAATTCTTTTTGCTTCATACCTTGGAAACACTCCAGATGAAACTTTGTTTTCTACTTTCCCTAAAATATATATATAAATATAAAATAAGTCTTTTTTCCCCACTAAATGGAGCTACTGCACCACAGACAGCCTAACTGGGAAAAGAACAACAATGAACATTGCTCAGTAATGTGCACTTGGGTCTTTCTACACAGCCTCTCCAGGACAATATGATGTTACATAACAGTTATGCAAACTATCACATCCAGAAATTTCAATGCAGATCCTCAAATCTTGCATTTCCTCAAACAGAAACTTAAGAAACAGAAATCACAATAGGCGTTTAGAAAGACAACGAGTTTTTGTCCAGCCCATTTGAGTACATTTCTACATGGATGATTAAAACTCTTCAATTAGACTGGTTCATGGAAGCCATGTTAGCATAAGGTAGCATGTTACCATGAATAAGTCTGATATAGAAGTTCTACTGTATATCAATTCTTACTTATTTGGCCTATTTCGAATCATTCAAATGTTTTGCACCAAAGACATATGGTATCTAAATCACATTACCAATCTTCAATGCACATTTTCAAACAGGCTGGACATTTCCCACTAAATTTAAAACCTACTAATCTGAGAGAACATCAAATCTGAAAACTGAATTAAAAATATTTAAAATATGGAATATGGCAACCAAACCGTTTACCCAGCCAGAGTAACTTTCATTCTGACACAATCCTGCCAAATTTAATGTGCTTTTGCCCATGGGTTTGGATTTCAAAGGCACTGGAAAATGTCTTTTTAATAATTTTGCACAACTCTTCCCCTACAGAAAGTTTGCAATAACCATGTATTACGACTCTTTACAGAAAATGATGAGACCAAATCTGTGAAGATATATACTTCAGCCACTGCAAAAGCCAGAGAAGTCGCCTGGCAAAGAACAGACAAACTGAATGTGAAAGATATCTCAAGATAAGGCAACTACAGAAATTGCACAAGCACACGTGTTGGGATTACTTAATTCACATTATTACGGCACTGAAGTGGAGGTCATCTTAAAGTCACTGTATAGTTGTACAATATTGATTTCATGCAACAGTAATTTATGCATTTGCTGGACCAGAATATCATCCACAATGGAAGTATACAATATAGTGTAATGCAAACCTCTGAATGAAAGTTCCCTAATTTTAGCCAACAAGAAGAAGCACGAGCAGAGTAAGACTAAAGGAGGAAGAATCATCATCAACACAATACATAATGTATTCCTTTATTGTGATATTGTTTTTTTCCCCCAAACATTTTTGTGGTGTGAATCAAATAATATAAGTGACTCCCCCCAAGCTTGAAAGACTTAAACCAGGTAAAAATGTGACCTAATTATAATTGGGGAAAAAATAATCTCCTGCAATGAAATTAGAAAAACATATGCTCTTCCACTCTGTTGATCAAGATGAATCTAAGGTCATTAAAGTGTGGTTTGTGATGGAGGTACACCAGTAGAGGGGAGGAACTCTTAATGAGGTCACATGCTCTGCCTGAGGATACTCTCTTAGACAAAGACTAAGAGACACAGAGTCAAGTACATGTTGCAATGTGACATGCCTCATACATATTTTGGTATAAGATGGGACACAATGCAATGATGGAAAATATTCATTATGAATGAAGTCTAGGTACTCCAATTGTAGGCGCACACATTGAAAAATAAAATTTGTTTTATTTTTTAACTGTATATTGATGCTGTGAATTGATTTTCTGCTAACAAAATTGAATGAAGATATCTGTGCAGTCCAAAGCACCAATTATATTAGGAAATGTTGCAAGAAATGTTTAGATCACAATGCACGGTTATAGGGAAAAGAAGCTTCAGTTACAGTGGATAGAAGTATATATGAGAATATAACCAGCTATTACTTTAAATCCCTATTTGATGGCATTCACTAATGTACAATATGGCCAGGTAACTTTACGAATGATCGCAAAAACTGTTTCAGTGGAAACACCACTTTCCTCATTGCATGACACACTGTCACTTTACCGAAGACCTATACAGTAAAAATACAGTAAAAAAGGAATCTTACCCTTTGAACACAGTCTGAGTTTATTTTAATACTGAGCTATGACGAGCAATATTAACAACATACGGGCTTAAGATATTGTGAATGTAAAGTATACTTTGCCTCCTGAAAAGATATCTTTCAAATAAAAATGATCAGTGAACTGCATGTGATTTTGGTGATCTCTAGACTTTCTCTCCACAAAGTTCTAATGTCCACTGGATCCCTTTTTGGTCAACAATGTTGGATTGATTGGTCTACAAGTCAAGCTCTTAAAGTCAGACTAAGTCTGACATAACCTGTCTTAGACCAGGTTAAGAAAAGAAGGATATGTTGCTATAGCTGCTTAACCAGATACAATTCAATCTTGCTATGTGAAAATTAAAATCCAGATGTTTACTAAAGTTATTTGGTTAAACACGCATTCTTGCTTTTTGAAACAGCTCTGGTGCTACTTCCAAGGCAGAAGGGATTACTGTAGGTTTCCAGAATGTAAAGAACATCTTAAAGTGTCATTCCAGTGTGCTGGAACACATTTTAAGGGGGTTCCATAAGTTAGAAAAGAAGGTCTCAAGACTCATGCTTGTAGGACTTCAAATAATAACAACAGATGCTTATGTTTATTTGTTTATGTTCTTTCTGAACATTTATCTTGCACCAGGCGCAATTTTCTTCAAAACCAAACTTAAGAATCCCAAATCACCCACACAATTCAGAAGTCTTGGCTTGAAGAGATGCAGGAATGCTTGGAAGGAACTGTCTGGTTTAGCAATATGGTCCATTAAATCTTTGGCTCTTTTAACTTCACTAATTTTCTTTTCACAACAACTCTTAATGCAGTTCTGATGTTTCATTTAATGCTGATATACTGAAAACCATTCTGGAGATTCAAAAGTCTAGGTTGAAGAATTTACCCTGAGCTCTGAGTCTACACCACTATTTCTGTGTGAATTATGCCATAAAACAAGCAGCACATTTGTCAGTACTTTTATAACACTATTCCACGTTTCCACTCAACAAATATTCTGCACATTCAAAAGCCCAAGGAAATAAAAAGTAAAACAAAAAATGGTCAGTGTATAAACCAACCCATCAACTTTAAATCTGGGATAAATAAACCACTACCATAACCAGCTTAGCCAAGTGGAAAAAGTGTTACCGTACACATTATGATCTGTTACCTTTGCTCATCAAAGTAGGAAAAATGTCATACCATTTTTCCATTAACAGTAGGTAAAAATATGTCAGAATATAATTATGATCCAAGAAACCTAAAAACTGAAAAACATATACTGGTCATTTCTACAAGATCTTCAAGGAACTACCTATTTTGTCCCACTTACCTTAGCAATAACTTTTAAGCTTTTAGAAATAAAATGTTGTTTTTCAAATGAATGATTTTTATACCCACTTTACCCAATTATAATTTGAAAAAAAAAACATCAGTTACACTTTGAAATTCTGCATTACTGCAAACATTACGGTTTTCCATACTGTTATTAACAATAAACATTTATTTTACGGATCTGTTATGGACACACACAGTGTCTTTGGGGCAGAATCTCAAAAGGGTATATTGTAAAATATAGCTCAGATTCTGGAGAGTACACAAAAGACCCCTTCATGTGTCTAACTCGATCATAAAAACTCTGAATTGACAGAATCTTCCTTTCTGTACATATACAGAACCCTTCCATTTTAAAATTATCATCTGCAAAACAGATTCCACAGCACTTATACAGTATTCATGTAGCACAATAGCAAGCTTTCCTACGATACCATTTTCTTAAGGAGTTGCATACACAAAACCAAGCTACCTGATAAAGAAGTGATTGTCAATGCTTCCCTTTTATTTTTATATATATATGTATTTTGTAACAGCTGCAGAGTCTGAATTTCACTGCTGCATATTTAAATATGACAAGACTCTCAAGGGCAGATATCATTTTGTACACGAGGGAATTGCTAATTGGCATACATACCAGGTCTGCGTTATCAGCAGAAAAATGGCTATCACAGTCAGCTCCTTCAAAATAGATGGTCCAGGTGCCAGGTGAGCGAGGGTGAGGAATCAGTCTGCAAAACCCTGAGAGAAGGAACACTGTCTGACAGAGCGAAGACTATCTTAATGAGCAACACTGAACAAGCCCAAGCCCTCCAATGCTTAGCAGGTGTGTCCACTCCTCTGTTCAAACTGTACTTAACCTGATAGAGAAAAACAAACCCCCTTTACATCACATGTAGCCATACAGATATTAGCCTCTTTTCCATCTGCTTCAACCGTAATTTTCCTTCAGAATAAAACTGAGGAGATATTATTTATAACACAAGACTCATGGATAGAATGCCATAACCTTGTTGGATATCCTCAAGAATAAATTCGATTTTGTAACGATTCACATTTGTTCTGGACATCACAGATCCCATAATATTTTAGAAGTATGGATTTATGGGGAATGGGAAAAGGTCTAAATCCTGATGAAGCACAGAGGACAGAAAACAGTCAGTCATGTTTGTCGCATAGTCTATTGAATAAAAAGAGGGATTACAGACATTCAATGGCTGTCCCTAATCTATTTGGTTGAAGGGTCAACAGCTTGGCCAAGACCTCAGGGTAGCTGGAACAGCCAGCTAAGCACTGCTCCAAGGGCAGTGACAATGGTGGAGGGATGCTGAGGAACAAATGATGGAAGGAGAAGGGCATCTGCCAATTATATATAGGGTGCATAACAAACTTAAATTACCTAGATGTTCCAATGCAATAAAGATTTAAATAATTGAAATCTTGTACGGATTTTGTGTTTGGTTTTTCAGGCTGTAAGCTTTTTACCAAAATGCAAACACCGATCAAGCTTAGTAAAAGTTAACAATTTTGTAAAATTCAGCACATAAAAAACAAAAAACACTCTCAGACTGATATCTATGTTTGAGATTTAATTCAGATTTGCACATTGAAATATCCTGACTTTATGAGGTCATTTCTGTAAAGTTAAATACAGTTCTGGCTCTTTTGCAGATTTTGTTATGTAAATATCCTGAATTTGTGAGGCTGTTTCTGTAAAGATAAAAAAAAATCTAACTCTGGCTACTTAACAGGATATATTTTCTTAGATCTCATCAAAGAGATAAAACTCTTAACACTGGGAACAGACCTTAAAGAGCCCGGTCTGGGGAGAGCAAGTATACCAAAGAATAACTCGGCTCAAAATGTCTTGTGAAACCTGCTGAGAGGAATAGACATAAATAATAGCTATTATTGAAAGCAACTGATTACATAGATCAAAGGACCCTACTACTTGGACTTCAATCTGAACTCTACAATTACAGGGTCTGTGGTTTCCAGCTTAAAGTGTGTTTAATTGCGGTCTCCAGCCCAGAAGTCAAATGGAAGGACAATGAGTACCTCGGTCAGAAGAAGGAGCCAGACTGCTTACCTCTCTGGCAAAGTGGCTCCAGGAACTCCTGGAAACCGTTGGGAATGTTGCGGACCACATCACAGGAATAGCCGTCCTCAGGCAGCAGGAAGGGGAGCTGCAGGTCGGGGTCCTCCTCCAGCTGGACTTCGCGCCCATCACTGCGTGCCAGCTCATCGGCAGTGTTCTCTGCCACAGCCACCACGTTGTCAATCAGCTCCTGAAACAGCAAACACTGGTTAGGGCTGGCAGATAGCAGAGGGCCACTGATCCGATGTTCCAGTTATTTCTTTGATTGCAACTCCTAACTACAGTGTCAAATTACGAATGCTAATTTGTGCCCATTTAATATTGCTTACAATGAATGATTTAAAAATATTCTCAATCAAACCCCTTGAGTCTTGTATCTTGGGGATTATAGTTTCAGTCCAAGTGGATACTGTTTTGCCACTTGTGGATTCAAGCTCCTAATGTTGGCACACTACTGGATGAGGCTGCCATGAGTTTCACTTATGTATTTTAGTATACTCTTGTACTTGGTTACAATTATTGATATATATATGCACTACTTACATATTTTATATTTAAAATATATTTATATTCATATTTATGTTCATCTGCCTTTTTTGTTGCAGACATTTTACATGTACTTGTACGTTTTGTCCTTCCTAAATGCATTGAAGCAATGCACTATGAAAGGAGCTATTTAAAAGTAAAGAGGGATTCACAGACCCAGGGGTAAAGTAGCTTGCAGCATGCTTGTTAGATCTTGCACAGCACCTGCAGGACTGAAATATATTCCCTACAATCATGTCATAAAAAAGATAATTCTGGAAATGCACATATCAATTTAAGACCAACTAGTAAATGCAATATCTACCAGTCTGGATTCTACAGGGCGAGCACAGTGGCAGACTGGTTAGTACTGCTGAAACCCTGGGTGCAGTTCCTGAAGTGGTTGTTGCATGGATTTCCTACAGGTGTTCTGGTCTCCTCCCACAATCTAAAGACATACTTGTAGGGTAATTGGCTTCTGGGAAAACTGGCCTTGGTGTGAGTATGTGTGTTTGTGTCTGTGTGTGACGCAGTGATAGTCTCCAGCTACCCTGTGACCCAGTACTGGATAAATTGGTGTGAAAAAGGATGGATTCCAGAGTTTTACAATTACAAACATTGTGACTTGTGCCCTGACACATTCAAAGCAATAGACTTTGGGCTATAATGTGTTCAAGGCCATATAAAAGCTCTGTGAGGCTACATTAGGTGAATGGCCAGTTACATTTGCATCACTGAAGACAAACATAGCTAGGAGAGAACATCTGGAAAGTTGAGTAATATGTGAACATTCTCATTCAGAGACGTCTAACAACTTATTGCTAATGAGTCTGATTAGTGTGTGACATTTTTCATTTCTACAGGGTAGCAACTATGGAAACACATCTGACTATTTACAAGTTTCACAAGTGCTGTTTTGTTCCTAAAGGTGGAATTTTGTAAAAACAATTGTAAAAAAAATCAAATGACTCCCATTTGGCTAGAATTAATACATATCTAGCAAAGCTCTTGTGTACCATTTATTAACCTTTTTATTTCCAAAACTCAGTCTTCAACTGCACACCACAGCAACAAGAGCAGGAGAAAAAGTGCAAAGGTGAAATGGAAACAAGAGCAATGGATGAGAATAAAAAATAAATAAAAATCAGGATCAGAACTGATTTACAAATCCTGGTTACTAGCCAGACACTTACAGGAGGAATGTAGGGCTCATCTGGGGCACAGTGGTAATTCTGCAGTAGCGCCTGAAGCTGCAGGGAGTTCAGTTTGAAGCAGGTGTTATGAATGCTGGGAACATCCTGCATGGAGTACTTATCCATGGTGAGGAGAGTTGTGGCCTGAAAATTTAACAAACAACATATCTTTCCTAACTCTCTCAACAAATATTAATGAAATTAATTCATCAAACAAAAATAGCTGTCAAACCCAGACAAGCTAATTAAATTCTGACATTACATTCTCAAAGCAGGCGTAATACTAAAAATCACTATTATTATGCCTTAATATTTATGTCTCCACATAATGTAGAGCAAAGCATTAGTTAATTGGTAATGTTGCTACAAAAAGGGTAGTTATTAACTGCACAATGCCTGTACTGTCTCCCTGGTCACCCCCTGCCCTTCGGAGATTTTACTTCCACCCATTATTTGCATGAATGAACAGAAAACAAAGGTACCAGAGAGTCAGTGAGGGAAGCCATTACAAGATAAAAGGGTGAACATTAAAACACACACTGCAGCTGCTGTCTGGGGGAGATGCTTTCTGCGTCACTGACAGCATGTGCATCTATTTTCTTATGCAAAAGGCTTTTCACCATCAAGAGAAGATATCTACTGCCTTAACTTCATGCCTTTTCTATTCACAGTAACCTTGACACTATGATCAGATTAAATTAAGGGGTAGTTTGAAAAATTGAAAAGCGCCAAAAAATTTTAATGTTGAAATAAAGATGTTTTAATAAGAATACTAATGAACTACATAAGAAAAAAATCAGAAGTATGGTCAATGTACGTGCATCAGTGAGTCCTGGAATGGTTCATTATTATTCCGTATTCAACAACTCTGATGTGTTTTTGTTTTAATTATCCTGAATTTTGCTTTGTTGAGGAAGACTGGTACACACCTATTTAAATTGCAAATATGTAACTACTGTGGATGACTGTGTGTTAGATGACAGTACCCCCTTTCAAAAGGTGAACATTACTTCAAGACAAGCAATTAAATTTGTTGTTAAACATTACTTGGCTTTGTGACCTTTTAATTGGGTTAAAAAAGGTAAAACAAATACCTACAATCTTCTATTTTCTTGTTAAGCAGAAAAAAAGCTGTATACCATTTACAAATAACTGTGTCAAGCACTGTGCGTTAATGGCTTAATTCTAAAAAAATACAAAAATCACTTTAAATCAGAACTTGAAGTGGGGCCAGTTCTGTCTGCTAGACAATAATGCTACATCTGACTTTTTGATTTCTGCATACCAGAACTTCTTGTCAAGTCCTGGCACTTTTTAGCATTCAGAATTAAATAAGTTCCCTAATAATGTGATCATTCACATTTGTAACTATGTCAAATTCAAAATATGTCTGATTATAGTCCATGATACTAAACATCATCATTGTTCATTTTTTTAATCCTATATGTTAATACCTTGAGAGGCAGGGCCCCTCACTGGTATTAAACCAGTGGTGTTTTATACCTAGTGTTAAACTAAAGAACAGGCTTTTGTATATATATATATTTTTTACTGACTTGAAACCTTGAGGTTTTGGTAGTCTTTGCTTGTCCTCTAGTGTTTTGGTCCTCCTGCTTTCGTGTAACTAAAACAAACTACTTCTTTGTTTGAAGATCGTTTTAAACTTTTTCACAAACTTTGACAAAGAACAAAAAACTTCTGTTTGGGGTCTCCAAAATAATATTTTCCTCGAAAAACAAAAAACACTCATTTCATATCTCTTTTAGTTTGCCAAAAAGGAATACATTTCCAGCACAAATATTTTGTCTCACAAGAGTCCACTCACTCCACTTTGCCATTCACAACATCTGTGCTTAATAACTTAAAATAATTCTAATTAACTTGGGCTTTTTTCCCCTACACAAAATGGAGAAAAGCTACAGAGGGTAGAGACAATTCTACCCCCATACTATTCTAGAGCCACAGCGGACTACTCCTATAAATGTACCCCGATATTCCATCACACAAAATTATTTTTTTTAATTTGGGAGAAGGAGGTACTTCTGGGGGGGCTTCAGCTCAAACTCTCTCCCAGCCTGAAGCCAATATGATTTGCTTCTAACGTCTAAGGAAGAAAACAGAGCGGAGGCTTTGAAGGGTGTTTCCTCCCTGAGGCTGACCTGTACAATGCGGCTCAAGTGGCAGTCGGCGGCGAGCTCAAGGCCCTGCTTCTCAGCCCAAGCCTCAATGTGGCTGAGCTGCTGGCGAAGGATGGCCCCCCAGTAGTGTGAACACAGGCCCGAGTCGGATTCGGTGACCAGTTTATTGAAGAGCCACATGTTGATAAAGTGGAAGAGCTGGGAGAAGAGCTGGATGGTAAGGGCAGCGTTGACACGGCAACGGCGCAGCAGGGACATGGCTCCTGTCAGGGTGTGGAGCACATCCTCTGTCATGGGAGGAGAAAGATGTTAATGTCAAGATAACATCATAGAAGCCAAACTCTGATGAAACTGAGAATCTTGACAAATCTTGGCAAAGCAGTTTCCTTTCATATTTGGTAATGTCACCATTTGGCTTTCAGCAGCTCTGTCTTTCCTTGCTAAAGGTAAGTGCAGTAAACTCCACTTTAGTCAAAATACAAAGGTCTGTACTGCTACAATGCAACTCTCCTCAAAAGGTTTGCTGATACTGTAGTATTATGCAAGACTAATAAAAAGAATATTACTTAGTCAAAGCTTTCCATATAGATTTTTTATTACATTCTTTTCTGTCATAGTGCTTCAATAACAATACATCTTGAGGGACTCTTGTGTAATAAATGAAAGTTCCCACCAGAGGGCTCCCTTAGCAAGAATACAAAATGCATTCTGCAAGCTTTTATAGAGTAAATGAAGTGTGTATGTGCAGGTTAAAGAACCACACCAAATCTAAATCTCCTCACCAAAATAGCACCTTCTGCAAAACAGATGTTGTGGGGGTCAATGAGGAGGACCTCACAAGAGAAATTACTTTATAAAAACTAAATATCTTCTTTTAAATCTAACAGTGCCAAAACCTTTCTGCTGTGCATCCAAAGAAGCCAAGTCCCCTCTTATGTAAGAGGAGCTTTTAGTTCCATTGGGATGCAAAGCACAATACAAAAGCTAGAAATTATTATTTACAAAAAATACATTTTTGTAGACTGGGCTCCCTCTCTTTAAAATATGCTTGAAGCTGTGTCTGTTTAACAAGCCAGTCCTCTGGGTTTGGTGTCAACTAAAATCACAAGCCTACAATGAATTAGTATCATAATTAGACTAAAAGTTTTCTGAATTGGTTTCAGGAATGCCATGCTATAAGATGTATACAGCTGGTAATAAATTCACAAAACAGAAATCTCTCCAGCCTGTCCTTAATTTAATTTGTTTCTCCATTTTAAGATGTAAAAAACAATGTCTAGACACAGGTGGGAATTGTATTCTGTCAAACACTCCCATGTAAGGGAGTTTTAGAGGATCCAATTATTCAAATTCCAGACACCCAATGACTAAAACAACAGACCTAAACAAAAGTCAAACTCCAGCTAAGGACCTGGACCAGCTGCTCTTGGTCCACGCAGAATACAGTCTTTGCCTTGGCCAACTTCTATGCGCTTTAAACAGCTTTAAAGGACCAAATGAACATAAGAGACCATTTAACCCAACTAGCTTGATTTTTTTCAGCTAATTTCTAAAATTAAATTGCTAATTAAATTCGCCATCAAACACATCCAGGAGGAAACATGAATAACAGCTTTATGTCAGATTGTTTCAGACTCCCACAACCCTTTGCACTTCCATGTGTAATTTTTTTTTACTGTTGAATCTGAAGAAGTCCTATGTCCACTGACCTTGTCAATGCCCTTAAGAATTTTGAATACTTGAATCAGGTCCCATAACAGTCTTCTTTGTTAAAGACTAAAAAGCTTCTGTTCCTTTACAGTTCAAGACAGCTGTTTTACAGCTTTCTTGTATATTGGTAATCAAAACTAAACACTATTTTTTATGAGATCTTGGCAGTGCATCATACAGGTTTAGGATAACATGTCACACTTTAAATGCTGTGCTTTTACAAATAAACCCTTCAAACTGATATGAATCTAAGTTTATTTCTACCTGCAATAACTACCATGTACACTTAATGAACCTTACATTAAATGTCATAAGACACTCTATGGTCAATTTAAAGGGTTCAAGAATGACTAAACAGAGTCTATAACTCTACTAAGTTTCAAAGCATAAGCATGATACATTTGTTACATTAAAAAATCAGATGCTATTGGTAGATGAAACAAAAAGAGTGCAAATTTAACAATGGAGCAAAAAGCTTTCATTGTCTTAGAAGAACACATTGACATATACCATAAGCTGTTGTTACCTATTTTAGGACGTTGTGGGTTTTGCTCTTCAGGATCATCTAGGAAAGCAGGCATGTAGTTACTGAGATCAGACTGCAGACAGTGCACCAGGTACCTTGGGGAAAGAGAAACCACATTGTTCACATTCATTCCTCCCTCTACCAGAGGAGAGGACAGTGCCTCAGGGGTATGAGGTACAGATATCCAATAAACAATACGCAAACAAGGTCCTTCAAAAGCACAGTCAATCATTACAGAGCACTAACGTAGAACACCTGGATTCTTTAATCCTGCAACTGCCCATATTTCATCCCTTATAAAACTTCATAATTGAGTTAACCTACCCTGTTTGATCTCTACAGAATTGTATATGGCAATATAAACAATCATACGCAATCTCTCATATTTTTTATTCACGTTCAATAATAATTAAGAGTGAACTGAGCTGCGCTATAGAAGTGTCTTACTTGAAGGCCATTTGGACTAAATGGGCCAGGACATCCTGAGCGTCTAAGGTGATGCGACTGAGGTCTTTGTCCTGTTTGATGAAGTTGAGCAGCTCTGATGCATTGGCCATCCAGAACGCCAGGGCTCCAGCGATATTCTTCTGTTTCTGTCCAGAAAAACAAACAAAAAAAGATGTTGAGAGTGAATGTCAGGTAGGAGAGATCCAAAACAACCTTACAACCAGTATCAGCTCTTCAGGGATAGACCAGCGCCCCATTCACGCCTTAATCCCCCAGATACCAGACACGGCTTCACAGCCACACCCCAGATTTCGTCTGCTTTGAGAGGAACACTAGACTGCGTGCAGCACAGAAAACAGGTCAACGCAACATTAGGGCTCTGCTGATTTCAGGCTATGTATCACACACCTCTCCTGAGAATGGACTACAGATGAGATGAGTTAGGCAAAATAAAATGTCAAATTTCTTATTAGTTTTGCCCACTCCAAGAATGTACAGCTATCTTGTTTTAATGTTCTTAACCAAGCTGAGCTCCTAATGACCTAATTCGAATATGTAGTACCATAACTAGACAAGTATAACTACTCTTCCCAGCACGTATGCCTTTTGGTAACATTGCATGAAGAGAGCTAAGAGACCTGCTCCATTGCTGTCCTCAGACCTGAATTACATCACATAGGAATTGGTGAACTTTTCATAAATGGCTGCTATCCTATATGATAAAGGAGTAATCTATCCCTAATGAATTTACCAGTTATGATTAAAATTCAAAGTATACAATATCAGTGATATGACATTAAAAACAAAAACAATACCATAACAGTCCTCATTTTTCACTGCCCCTGGTAAAAGTGACCAGGTAATTTCTTAGTGAGGATTAATATTACAAAACATTCCAAAAAATTGATTTGATTATATATATTCGATTGTCCATCAGGGACTGATTTTTTAACTACACCTAATAAACTGTTTATGAGCAGTTCCCTGACCCTTGACTGACCCCTCACCTGCTTTGAGAATTAAATTAAAACTCTCTAGTAAGACAGATGACTGCTTTTGATACATGGCACTCTGAATTGCAGTATGCTGCATTTTGTTACATTCTTCAAGGTCAAAACCAGTAGCTGTGCATACCACCCAACCTTGTGCCATTCAAAGCTCTTTTCAAAATCATAAAAAATGACTAAAATTGCACCCAAATCAGTTACAAGAACTGAAAATCTGTACACATTTAAAAGTTCTCTAGCTTTCTGAATACCGAACCGGTTCTTCTCTTAATAAAAATAATTATAATGTTTAGCTTGGGAACACAAAATTTACTACAGAGGTCAAATGTGATTCTAATTATGGGATAGGTGGCTTATTGAATGCTGTATCTGGTAATCATGTGTGTTAAAGCCCCCAGTTTGCAAAAACAAAAAATATATCTGAAAATAAACAAATACACAAGCTGTCTTTTCGGAGAAGCCAGCTGGTGTGTATTTGGCACTCATCTACCCCCCCCCCACAAACATTGCACCCCCAGCAACAGAGAAGAACAGGAACCACAGACAAAATAATGACAACAAAAAAGGTAGCAAAAGAACTTGGGTTGTTTCTCATCCACACTGAAGTGCCGTAAGCAGAAATACATGGAATGCCAATAATAAAGTTGCACAGTCAAAAAGGTTTTAGTACCGCCATGTTCCAAGTTGCTGAATGAGGGGTTATGTACTGTTTTAAGTCCAGCTGTTGGAAAGGGATTATTGTTGTGTGCTTGTTTGGAATTGTTTGGTTTTCTGATGGAAAGAAGCATGAGAAACGGAGCAAAGCTGACCAAGCCAGGATCAAGACCCCTGGCAGAAGACATTCCTACCTGATCCCCCTCGGCAATCTCCTGCAGAAATAGGTCAGGGAAACAACACCCAACAGGACAGAGAAAGAGACTGTCAACAGTCATGGCATGGACAAGAGATTCACAGGCATGTACAATCATCACACACACTTGGCTCTCTGAACAGCGTTTTGAGTTTGAATGAAGGCATGTTAGATTTGATCCGGAAGTTTAAAAAAAATGATCAAAGTAATGAATGGGATGTAACACCCCTGTCAAAACTAGAAAAACAGAGAATATGAAAGAACACTTCACCAACAATCTAACAAAAATGAACTAATTGTGTTGGCTAGGTGTTAATGACAGCAATGCTTCCCAACCTCACTCCTGGGAGACCTCTTGTTCTGCTTTTTAAAAACAATTTTAAGTGCAGGCATCACAGATGCTGCACCAGCAATATTTTTCATCTTTGTCTTTCTGAACAACTTCAAGAAAGTGCAAATAGCAAACACCTCATCTATGGTGTTTAAAGACACTACATCAGAAGCAAAGGTTTTATGAAAGATGTAGAGGGGAAAAGTAATGCGTGTTTTGTCCTGGTGGCCTCAATGGCAGCAACATTATTCTAACTGTACTGTGTACAGTACAAAAGACCACTTTTCTATAACATTTTGATTAAGAGAATATTTTTTTATTTAGTTTTATTTTTTAAGTGCGAGATGCAACACCAGTTTGTTTCACATCACAAAAGGTGGCCAGTAACAAGAAAAAAGATAAACTGAAAAACAATTTTTAGCCGAAGATATCTAGAGGCAAACTTTCATTCACAGAGCGAAATCACCCAATATTAAAGGTCAGTGATATAGAACTGATAAAAAAGCACAAGAGGACTGGGAGTAATAAGGATTCATTGCTTCTTGTAAAGACACTTTTTCTCCTGATCAGAATGTAATTCTGGTTTGAGGGAGCTGTGATGCACTCCAACCAGACATCAACCTGGCTGTTACAGAACTTCTATAGCAGCACATGTATAACAATTTTCATTAGACTAAGTAACACATTTCGATGACGTATACAAATTAAATCTGGGAAAGTCTCTATTGGACTTCATATGTGGCAACTCTTTCTTCTATATTGTAGCAAATCTGAGTGTTGGTGAGCAAGGAGTTTTGACATTACTCTTCTACGGAGAACTGTGGAGGTGCTGTCACTATAGCTAAATCTGAATGTAATGCATTTTTCTTAAACACTGTACTTAGCTGTTGTCTATATCTATCATACCGCAGTGAGAAATGAAGAGATATAATTATGGTTCAAATAAAATGTGTAACTATGAAGTAAAATGAAGAACAAGTAGAAGACAGAAATAGAAGTATAAGACTGAACTATGCGCAATAAAAAATTGTAATGCATAGGACAATAACAATACAGAGAAGAGCCTAAGGCACATGTGCCTAAATGGAGAAACCTGACAATAGAACAAGTGTTTAACTTGTCTAAGCATGTTTAACTTAAAAGTACAGGTGAAAAAACCCAATCCAGACTGGAAATATCTGAATCCTCATCTGTAAACAACAAACATGGCTAGTTAAGTAGCCATGCATTTATCATGTTTTTAAATATTAAGGGAAACTTTAGACAGGTGTCCATAAAAAGGTCTTTTACTGGTGCTGTCAACATCAAACAAGGATACTAAATGAATGAAATGAACTTGCGGGAGAGCCAAAAGGAAGGAATTTCACAAGCTGAGCAGCATAACTGTCCTTCTCTCAAGCTGCAGAAAAGCACACTATACATGAGCAAACAGGAACAGGCAACTCACCTGGATGACTCCTTCCATCATGCTCACCATCTTGTTAACTATGGCTATCACCTTGTGTGTGCGCTCGGAGGGGCTCATGTCTGGCCTGTAGTTGCTGGACAACACATAGCGGCAGGTCATGTACAGCACATATGTGGGAGACAGTTTGAAGTGGACGGTGGAACTGTTGGTGTAGTTGATGATGGCCGACAGGAAAGCATCTTCAGCTGCAAGAAAATAAAATCACTTGGTAACGCAGGCTTCAATTATGTTGAGAGTGACGGCAAAGCTTCTAGATTGTGTACCTGAACAATGACATTCAACTGGTAAGCAAAGGATTCAGCTCACATCTAAAAGTTGTCATTGCAATTACAACATGGGCAGAAAAGAGCCCTAATATATTTAATGACTGAACTGTTTTGTTTCTAATAAATCCTAAATTCTAATGACATTTCAGAATATCTGTTATAATTATATAAAAAATTATATAAAAAAATAATTATAATTATATAAAAAAGAGAAATTGAAAACATGGTTCAGCATCTCTGACACAAATATTACCAAGTATTGTAGATCCATTTGAACTTTTCAGGTCTGTGTGTAGGTATATACTTCTGTTTGAGAGAGTCAATTAAAAAAAAAACAATATCTACAACAGTAAGCCTGATAAGATGGCACTGTACAATATCAAAATTAATTGTAAGCTCAGGTATTCAAACAGTTTAATGATATCAATGGAGCTTGTTCAAAGTGATAAAGCCCGCTACTTACAGTTTTCCCTGAACTCGATGCTGGCCGGTAGTGTCAATTCTGGCCCCAGTCCATCCTGGGATCTGTGGAGAGAGAGTTGATTTTCAGTGAACCAGGTGACATAGAGCACATTTATGCCACTGTCAACAGAGGCCCACCTCTCCAAGGGCTGGGCTCTGCACTTCTTGTACAGCATCCTGGGCATAAATCTCTAAATCCTAGGCATGAAGTATAGTCCGTACCCACTTGGCCTTTTTAAAACATCACAGCATTTATTGGACAGCTGGTCCGTACAGGCCTGGCTAGAAAAGCACTCTATTATTGATGAGAGAAACCTCTCTATCCATTGTTAAAGCACACAGCGAGTTCAGTTTCTAACTGTCCCAGCAAACTAGATCAGATATCATACTGCAGAGTCACACTATCCACTGCACCTCACTTCATAAGTATCTTTGTAATATTTAAAGGCTCAAGAGGTACAGATAGTATTTTCCTTTGACAGCTTTTGTAGATATAATTAATATACTCAGGGGAAGGTCAACCACGGAAATCATATTGCTAAAAATACATTCAATCCTGTCATGTTGCTGTTTGTCTATAAAAAAGTCTAATTTTACACTTACCACTTAGCTCTTAGTACATCTAAGTGAATTTAATAGCACACATGAACTGTAATCTAGAAGCAAAATCTGAATGCAGTTTTGGGCAGCAAAATCTATGTATTTTTTACTGCAAATTCTCTGAAGGAGATGAAAATCTGTTTTTAAAGCTGTGAAACAGTTGTAGTCTTTTACCCAAAGATACTATTCAGCATAATTGCACTTTCTGTACCTACAGTAGAATAAGAATTTGTTGTATGTTTTCACAGGAATCTCTATTGCTAGAGGGGATAAGGTCATTTTAAATAAAGAAGGTTCTTGCAAGTGTGCTTTTCTAAAGCTTTCACAATATTTTATAAACAATGTTCCAAGACTATATGTTGTCTTGTGACCACTGCTCACAAAACCCCATTCTGCTCATATCAGTTTACCACAAATGTAATAACTGAAAACAAACTACACGTATCCGGTTAGCACACTATGTATATCCTTCAATGTTCCATTACAAGTTAGTTAATCAGTATTTTTTCAATTTTTGTTTGCTGAACAGTGTTTCTTCCTCCAAAACCTACAACCATTTTCCTAATGGAATGCAAATGATTTTCTAGAACTAAGGTTAAATGAATAACAAATTAAGTTTTCTCTTGCTAGGTTATTGCATTTAAAATCCCCCCTCTTGCTTATAACCAACTTTATGTTCACGAAATCATTATCAGAAAAGAAATGTGGCTTTTGGTAGAACAACTTTAAAATCTGTCCTAGGTGTCCGCATGGTTGCTTTTCAGGACAGGACCACATTTCTAACAATAATAACAATCCCTCACAAGCAGAGCCACATGCTCTAGACTGAGCCAGACTGTTCTCACCTGTTATCCTGCTGCTCCCCCCTTACCATCGGCTTCACCATGCCTCTCTCACTCAGGTTAGATGTGGGGCCTGAATGTTCCATGTCCAGTTTTCCGGAGCTCTGAAATCAAGGCAACAAAGGTCACATCCCAAAGAGACGAAGAAGATGCCCTCCTACTAACCGTGAAGCACACATTCAAGCAGGAAATGGCAGGCCTTGTTTTTCGTAACCTCACCAGGATGTATTAAAGATAAACAGGAGTGTCTCATAACAGGTAGGTGTCTGCCTCTATTTATTTTAAACTGACAGGTCATTTTCATGCCATTGTTCCTGTGCACATTTCCACTGGCACATCTCAGCCACACCAGGGCTGCCTAAGGACAGTGTGATGTGGTATGAAAATAGTGAGTCACTTTTTTTCCCATTGGCAAGTCATGTAATGGAGATGTTAAACTAGTGTTATGATGCTGTAGGTCTGAGTGTTACCAGATGCTGTTTTTCATTTAAATTATTTTTTGATTTTCAGATTCTGTATCAATTTAAAGATTTCTCATTTTCTCACAGGTATCTGAGACATAAATATAATTTTACTATGACAAATGACAGCTTGATTAAAAACAATTTTAAGGATAATTTTCTTATCCAGACAACATACATCGTTAGAGTATGCACAATTGATAAATTATGCTTTATTTATTGAAGACTGTCTAACTCAACGGTTTCTTCTAGTCCAAATGGCTCATCACATGAGATTTTACTGCATTTGATGAACAATAAATACAAATATGCCGTTCGCAATCACGTGTGGTTTTCCACTGTTTGGCCAGATGTGATGATCAATCTTGTACAAAGAGTTTTATTTTTTTTTATATTCCTACAGACTTGGCAAGATTAGATATATGAACTATGAAAGTATGAAAGTTTGAAGTTTTTTTTGGCACAGAGGACACTTGCAAAAACATGGTACAGTGACTAATAGGTATGGTAAAGGTCACAGTTTCAAAATGTAAATATGGGGTGTAAATCTGTCCAACGCGATAACATGAGAATTAAGTCAAGATAGGGATATCAGCAGCAGTGGAAACACTTTTAAGGGATTATTTAGAGCTAAGTTATGGCAGCTTTTATAATTTAGGCAATGGGTTAAAATCAGCTGATGAAGTTGGAGAACAGCATCTGCCTCTCATGCAGCTGTATAAGGTGTAAGTAAGGTAAGCAAGTCAAATGTAATCATAAGGTGACATGTCTCAAAACAAAAATCTTAGGGAAAACGTAATGACCACAAAAATAAGCTTACAGGGGAAGCCCAGCAACATAAGGCCTTAATTTAAAAATAAAAAATACTTAAATACTTAAAGATAAGGTACCTTGCTTGGTGGGAGGGCCGCTCCACTGTGGATTTCCCCATGCAGGTCAAAGGTTGTTTCGGGAACACTCCTACATGAGAAAGAAGAGGACAATTAGAACATTCCGTATTCTAGAGGTGGTAGACTTACTGCAACTATGTTGAAAGCAGGCCAGAGCACTAAAAGTTCTGAATGAGAGGGAGTCACTTAGCTCATCTAGTTCATTTGGGGGCTAAGAGGTTTAGTTTTGAGGTTCTCCCCAAGCCATGTCTAGAAAGCTTTCAGTTGCAACAACATGGCTTGTTCCTAACTTACACAACTTTAAAGAAAGAAGCGCATCCAGTTCTCAGTCTCAAATTCACACCCTCTTTGCTTCCATTTGTCTTCTGGCTTGTATTATTCTTAAATGATGTCAGAGATTTTTCATAATATTGATGATATCTGCTTTTGTATCATACAATTAGGAAAAAGCAACTGGCAAACAACCTTTTAGTCTAGTTGCACTTAGTGATTAAAATAAGGATTTTCAGGAAAAAGCAGTCATGATTTTGAGGGATAAAGGGGATTTTACGTTTTTGATCTATGCAAATGTTGACTAATCCAGATATAAATGTATCTAAAAAAAGAATATAAATATAAAAGAATAAGAACAAATGGTAAATCTCTTCATAGTCTCAAGTAAGACTCACAGGTGGTAAGACTAAAGGTTGAGGATTAAAGAACAACTATAAGACACTTCTCCAGACCTGCACAGGATGCTTGATTGTAGGATCTATATCTTTACTATAGCTCTCTATATCGGTGCCAGTGCTAAACTGAATTTCAAGCTCCCCCACTGTTGCCAATTTCTTGTCAGTATCAGAACGAGCAAAAACATTTAAGCAGTCAAGTTTTCTATCCACAAACCAAACAGACATCACATTCAATTCAGCAAAAGATGGACTCGTCGGCTTACAGTTCCCAATAAATGACATATACTCGTTTTGGTTGAACCACCTGGTGGGAAGATTCATGCATTACTGGCCTGAAGGTTCAGGACCATCATGCTCAATGAGGAGCCTACAAAACACTTATGTATTGCTTGTAAACGAAGCTCACAAACTCTTCAATTCAAAACCATCTACTTCTGAGCTACTGTAGACAAAATTAATTGGGAGAGCAGTAGTTAAAAGAAATGTAAATTATTCCTCCAGGCAGTACAGGCTCCACGTTACTAAAAGTGCAGGAGCTTCAGTGTATTCAAGGCTGTTTTGCACATTGTGTTCTAGACAAAATGTGTACATGTTAGGGCCTTTTTTTCTCTCTCCCCAGCTAGTATGCTAAAAGTGATACAGCAAAGAAAATAAGTTTATATTTGGTGCATGTGCCAAGATCAAAAATGATTCTCCTCTCCTAAAACATCACACATCTAGTTTGTTCCCACCCAGTACAGTGTTTTATACTCATTCTGAACAATGCTGAGCACCTGCTTTAACTAACACAAATCAGCAGGTCCTTCTGCAGATTACTGCATTGCACTCGTATCATAGAGCAATTCCATTATTGGATCATGCCTTTCAGAAATATAAGAGGCCTTGAGAAATGTTTCCCACTGACATCTTTTAAAGTACAATATCTTTACACTTAAAGCATTAAAAAGTATTAATTAGTGAAATCCACTGTATTTAAAACTGATGTATTATAAGCCGTGTATCTTTTGTTGCCTGGGTCTAGTTAAGACACACTTGAAGCTATACATTTGATCATTCAGAACAGTGTCTAAACAGTGATTAAATTAATCAACTGAAAAACAGAGTAGGCTGGCACTATTTTCATACTAGGACTGAAGTTAATGTACAATCTTTAGAATATACTAATCCCAAACAGGTTCAGAAATCCTACTTACCCAGACAGCAACCACAGTTCTTCAAAGCTCTTGTAACTATATGCAAAAAGCACCAGGTTCTGAAACAGCTGGCTGCATTAAACCTGCCTTCCAGTTGTACGCAAGTAACAGAAGTGAAAAGCTGGACACTGCAGAAATATCGCTGATCAGATTAGACTCCCCATCTCATGGCCTTCAATAACCTCAATGTAATGGAATGAGCTGGACTGGTATAATGCAAGATGTACTAAATGTGCCTTTTTATATAACAAAACATCTGCAGCTTTGCTTGAGTTGATAGCTTTGGAGTTTTATTTTTTAAGGTTTTCCACTTGCCTTGTAATCTACAGTATTTGGTATGTAAAGTGAAGAAATGAAAGTGCTTTGTTATTCAATTTAAGAGAAACAATCTACGATCACATCATTCAGGATTTTGTCTTTTTTAACTGATTAATTGGTTAAGCTTTAAATTTGTAAGCTTTTGCACTTCATAATGACTGTTCCTCTAGCCAAAATAGGCAAAAATGTAAATACTTCCTTTATTTACGAGATTATCTTCAGAAGCAATTTGGTATTTATTTCCAAATCACAAATAAATAATTATCTTAGACAAAGCAGTGAGTGCAGAAGATAAGAAAAATCATATGGTGTTGTAGGAAGTTATCCAACATGAAACTAAAACAAGACATTCAGTAATTCTAGTTTAATGAAAAAAAAATTGGAATCAAGCATCTTATAAACAGTCCTGATTACTGCAACCTGCGGAACAGCAGTATTTTTAATCTCTTCTGAAGGCAAACTTCAGCAATGAACAAAACCTCAAGACTGTGCACAGGAAGCCAACTGAAAGAGGGGTGTCCTAAAATTGTGTATTGTGTTTTTACAATCCCCATGAACACATCAGGGCTCTGACAGGCTGTCAGAACTATGGACACATGCCAACACTAGCATTCCACAAACTGCTCTAAACACTGCTCTAATCTATGTCTGTGTGAGCTAATATTTAGCTGTACAGTTTGACAGGAAACGGCTGTTATTTCTTTCAAACAATAATTAAGTGAAGTTTAAATTTCATGTTTCATACTCAGATTAGCACTGACCACTGATGAATTTAAGCCTTTTAATTTCTATAAATAATACAATTTTTAAATACTAACAGTGGATATTTTTAGAAAGAGCATTCTTGTTACAACATAATATGTGATACAATGTTAGCTAACACGTCACCTTATCATTAGCATTATCATTGCTAATAAATCAAGCCTGTTGTATTTAAAAAGTTAAAACACACTGAGTACCCTTGAAACCACAGATGTTTAAGGGATATATGAATATTAAGCATTTCACAAAATACAGAGTTGTATCTTGATGCTGTATTGTGCATGTTAAGTTAAAGTAAAGAACCAATGACAGTTGTTTCTATTATTAGACGGTTCTACTTTATAACACAGGAAACAAATCTAATTAATATTCATGTCCCATATATCGCACTGACTTGTGCTTGCTCTTAAAGACACCATAACCCTGACAGCTGTTCATTTTATGACTGATATTAATCTGTAACAAATCCAGTCAAAATGGAATTACTGGCAAAAAAGAGAAGCAGAATAAAATCTCACCAGATCAACTGATCTTAGAGGCTAAGCCCAATTAGTACAAATGATTAAACCAGGCAACTGATGCATATGGTCTAGATCACAGGGCAAAAAAAACAAACTACATGGATTTATGCGTCTCCTCCTCTTGCATGTAGAGGTGGGAGTTACTGCAGGAAAATCTGGAAACAACTGGCATTCCCAATTGGGTGGTATGTATACCGTAAAAATAATTGGCAATTTAAATTCAACAGTCGATAGAAAAAAAAGGTTCAGTGAATCAAAAGATGGAAGCTCACCATCAAGTTGTTTCTCTGTAATTCCTCACAACTTACCCTGATTTACTCCTCGGTCCTTTCACCATGGGTCCAGAGTCCATGCTCCTCTTGGACAAGCTGTGGTCATAGCTGGGATCAACAAACTTAAAGACATGAGAGGCTCCAAACTGGACTTTCATGCCACTCCTAAGCACGGTGGTCTCTGTGATGCGCTGCCCATCTACAAACGTCTCTGCTTCAAAGCTGCGGGGTGTCACAGTCACCAGGCCGTCTGCATGCATCAAGTTACAATGGTACGGAAGGATTCCAGGCCCGAAGAGCTAAGAAACAAAGTGGAGTCACTCTACACTGAGCTTTCATTTAAAGTTGAACCATACTGAACTTTTTAGGTTGTAAAATGTTGTGTTAGGTTAACTGACAGGAATAAATGCAATACAAACACTTCTATAAACACAATCTATCTTTAAGACTAAGGCACTGAAAGTTGTTTTTAATTATTATTATTAAAAAAGGTCTGACATGATTTGTCTTGATTTCAATCAACAGAAATTGACATTTCAATGAGGGTGTGCAGTCTTTTGATATCCAATGTACAAAAGGCAAACCACTACAGCTTTCACAGACCAGGTGTCACTATTCAGAAAAGAGACGAAGCTTTGACTCATAATATTTATTTGGTCCTTAATGCATTTATGCTTATTCCTTGGGCAGTGGGACGAACAAGCTTCCTACCACATCTACACATCTGACAGCAGGGGCAGATGGACATAACTATGAAAGAAAATGACCAACGGGTTCTGTTTTATATTTCTTAAGATGACCAGCCTGGTTTTCCTCTGTGATGGAGCTTCACACTGGCACACACAGTAATTCTAAACACATGAGTATCCTCATATAGTAGAACCCGGGTGTGCCTCTGCCAGTTCTCCTTCACGGGAACAGCGATCTCTTACCTGGATGGAATTATCATCCATTTTCTCAGTTCCCACCTCAGTGATGCTCGGCTGTAACCGATAGAGCTTTGGTTTATCCCTGGAGTCAGAGCCATCTGCAGAAGACAGGAATCATTTATCTTCAAGAAAGTGCAAGCTTGCAAACCTTCAGCCTGGCCCAGGAGTCAACGTTCTTGATGAAAGTAATACAATACAGAATCTACAAACCATAACTATTTAAAAACAGAGCAAAAGCAAAAATATGGAGAGCAAGATATTACTTTTCTGCCATTGTAATCTTGGTTCAAATTTGCTATGTATACAAAAACACTGAATAACTTCTGTGAGAGGATGATGACATCAACATCCATGCAATTTATGAGAGAAGAAGAAAACAAGAAATTATAACAAAATCACCCCAAAAAATAAATCTGTATTTTTAAACCATGTGAATCCAAAGTAAATAGAACTTTGAACAACATTTTTAAATATAAAAACCCACAAAGTAAACTTTTATCTATCTGTGACTTTGGCTAATTTCACGGTTAGACCTGTTTCTTGACAAGTAATTCAGAAAATTATCAGATTAGTGTAAACTCAAAACAGAAATGCAAAGAAAGCAGAAGCAATGCAGGACACAGCAAATGAGTGCACTGGGAGAAGAGGGGGGGGTGCTGTTAAGGGCTTGTCAATCATCATCAAAACGGGTGTTGGTACAGGATGAATGGATGTGTGGTGGGGTAAATTACACTTTCTTGGAAATAATACTTCTGCCTCTTGGATTGTTATGAGCCAAACCTGTTTTCAATCATTACAGCACTCTTGATTTTAACATAACACTACGTTTTCTTCAAAGCATTCTCTCAGGACTTCTGCATTTTGAAACAGTCTTCCGTAAGGCATTACAAACGCTTGAGAAAACTCTCACAAGAAATAACTCGTAGAAGTTGCAGACTCAAACTCCTCAACATCTCCAACTGACATGAGAAAGACGCTTATCCAGGTGAGAGTCCCATCTGGAATTTAGGGCATAAGGAGTAAGCTGGACAGCATGGTAGTTCAATACACAGCAAGAGATACTGGGATAATTAGAACACCTAGCTTCCAGCCTAGCTTTGATGATGAGAGAACCCAAGGCAACCAGTGAAAACCCACGCAAGTATGGGAAGACTTTTCAAACTCCACACAGACGGACACCTGGCTGGTCCCAAACAGACCACTGGAGTCGATGGCAGCAGCGAGAGCCATTATTCCACTGTATCGCCAAAAGTCTTTACTCTTTGAGCCCAGTCTATGACAGCCTTAACAACTCATTAATAATTAACAAGTTTCAATAAAATACTTTCTGTATTAATATACTGACAAGAATCATCTCCCATATTAATTCCAATGGCAATTTGTGAAAGTACCCCGTGGTTTACAACTTCAAGCCTTAAAAATCAGGAGGCATCACTGTTGCACCTGGGTTTTTAATGGAAGTGTTTCTGCAGAACATTCACAGATTAACTGCTTTACACTAGCCAAAAGAGCAGTTTTAAATACAGATTTTCAAAGAAAAATGTTACCATTAATGCTCCATGCATGCACCATTATCCCATAGTTTTCATTAAACTGTGTCATTTTTCTTTATCTTTTCTTTTTTATGGTCAAAATGACTTCTTCAAAACTATAGTGCCTGCTATTTGGTAGTAGACTGACATAAAAACACAGGCCATGCTAAAGTTAAATAAATGTTAAGATTAATGCCTCTAAAGTTGACACACAGTTACTGTAGAGTTTATTTATCAACTTGGTGACACATCTTGAAAGAATTAAGATTCAGGACCACATTCTACAAAGCTCACAGTTTCATTCCACTGAGGTTCGCAGTCAAGTTGCTTTCTGCAACAAAACAGAACTTGGTATTTGAAATATTTTTCTTGTCTTGTTGTTCCCAATACTTTCTGGTGAATACATAAAATTATACTTATTTTTGCCAAGACTGGGTAAGAGGAATAGTCATGTTTACATCCTGGAATACAAATTTCTATGCCAGTTCCAATAAGGTTTATATAACGAATTGCCAACTCCTTCATCAATACTTGAAAAGGCATATCAAGGTTTTAAAATATATTATACATGACAACAGAAAAATACAGAAGGACTTCTGCTGGATTAAAAAGTTAACTCTTAATGCAGACTTTCATTTATTTTGTTTTAATGCCAGAATTAGAAAAGGATAGTGATTTACTTTTAAAGAATTAATATTCACTGACATTCAGGACTGTAAGAGAACATCTCTCTAAATTATGTAAGCAAAAATGCCAAGATAAACATATATTAAGGGACTGTGGAGTATTGGCAGGCTTAGAGCTATAAAAACTGACTTAATATAATTGCTGGCTAACTCCCTGAATATGTAGGTATTACACTCATAAGAACAAATTAGCTGTTTATTAGTTACATTTTTTCAAGTGTCAGATTTAAAATACAGGTTTACCCTCTAATGTTTGCAAATTAGCTGTTTGCAGATAATGCAAAAGAAAAGGGCAACCAGTTAATTTCTACAGTTTAAAAACTGTTAAAAACAGTTATCCACATGTTCTGTCTTTAAGGTTTTCTATTTAAATGTATGAAAAAAATGGATTAGTTTTACAAAATATGTGCCGTATAACAGTACAAGTAATGATGTAAGATTTTACACTCTTCAGCAAAAAATGCTGGATCTTAGCATTTTCAATTTCACCTTAAAGGACACTGAAGTCCTGCAGGATCATCAGTATTGACACTGCAGATTGAGTCACAGTCTAGACATCAACAGTTTGAACCCACGCTATGTCAGGCAGCTCACACATATGCTAAAATTGCCATGCAACAATGACCCCAGAACGTGCCAGGACACCTGTGAGCTTGCGGTGACATCGGTAAGAGATTGCATCACTTCTTCAGTTGGTGCAAAATGACACCCCTAAGGCTTTGCAATGCTTGCAGCCTGCAAATTAGCCAAAGGCTTGACAACGGGCATGCCAGAGAATGGCAGTCACTATCCTCATTCTCCCTGTGATAGTACAAAGGGCCATAGCAACAACCTGACCTGCACCATAACTGGTGATAAACTAAATCTAAACTGACATATGACTCACAAACACTATGCCTAAAATTTACAAATGGTATTAAAAACATCAGTAAGAAAAGGTGTGGTTACCTTCCTGGTGGCGATAGTTGTAGTAGGCATAGTGATTCCCTCTCCCTAGGGTGAGGACACATGCAGAGGAGCCAGGTATAGAGACCAGCGGGAGAGATATCACATAACACATGCCAAGGCCAAGGTGGGCAGGAGAGAGAAGACAGTAAAGCGTGAAAACACAGCAGGACAAAGCTACCAACATGCATCACTGCTTCTGCACCACCTCCTTGAAATGAGCTGAGAAACAAGGTTGATTATCAGGCTCTTTCAATTCATAGTCAGAGGTTAAAGCCACAGAGTTATGTTTTTTAAGGATGTTACCCTGTGCACTCCAGAGTGGAGGTGAAATTAGAACATTTATGCAATGCAGTCTGCCTCATTAACTGGAGGAAAGACTGACAGATGCTTCCCACTAGTTGAGACATGATATACATGAAACTGGTATACAGATCTGGCCAGAGGCTGTGACTAGGAACCTTTCATCTATTTTCTATGCCTACGATACACACACTGAGTGGTGTGTGCTGGGCAGCAAAGTAGGAGGACTGAATTACAATAAGGACTTCACAACTACAGAATAAACAAAGTCTTGACACTAATTTTATGAGTAAATGCGAGAAATCAAATTAAATTTATCCCAAATCAACTTAAACAATTTGAGGAATTAAGAAATCAGTGCATTTACCCTGTTAATGTGAAATGTCAAGCCTGTCAGACAAAACCTATAATGTAGATGGCTATTCATAGATGTTAAGTTATTTGCAGTAGAGATAAGGTTTAACGGTCTTCTTTAATGTCGTTACCTTTCTCAACATTTAGAAGATTATCTGGTTTCACAGAACAGAAGAACATTTTCTTTTAATTCAGGTCTGCTACACATTTGTCATACCACAGTTTTACACAGATTCCAATAAACATTTGATGGATGGATGAAAACTTTTAATAGACACGTTCCTTGTCAAGGTAAAGATCAATGGAAAGTAAATTTAAGCACTTAAACAATTCTGCTTCCTTTTCGTCCCAAGGTATAACTAGGCCCATAAGGATTTCAGAAATACACAGATATAAAGCACAAGAGATCCAGCCGTATTTTCCAGGCAGAGATGACTATTGCATCTAAAATTTGTCAAACTGAATGTGAAGTCTCACAAAGTTATAAAGATGTAGATAACCTCATTGTATTGCAACCCGTGAAATGGAGATAAGAGTCAGCTGTTCTAATAATGTTAGTAGTGAATGTCAGATAAGGTTAGCAAAGGGGAAGCAAGTGGCAAGCAGCGCATTAGAACAAACTTAAAGGTATTATTGCAACATTGTTTAGAGATTTCATATAATGCACAAAGAGCGGTCTTATAGACCATGTACAGATCCACATGATTGGGAAGGAGCTGTAATCACTTTTAAGAATATTTCAGCATCACCCACCTCTGTGTCCAAATCTTTAGGCACCATGGGAAGCACAAAGGACCCTGGGCATGCTGGGACTCAATGAAACCTACTTGAGTTTATTGATCAATTCACTCTCTAACAGATAATGTGAGTTTCACTGTACAATACAGCCTTGCACTATGCCTGCAGTTACTTTGTGACTGCAGGAGCAAAGGTGACAGTTTCCTTGTCCATGGAGGCTTACAATTTAAAGACCCTACATTTAAATATCCAAATGACAAGAGTAACTTACGTAGCAGAAGTTTTACATTTAACGAAAGCAGTTGGGTTCCAAAAATAGCACTGTACAGTGTACATAAACGAGTCTCGTATTAATATTTAATTCATTTCTCGTTTTTGCTTTCCTTTGCTGATTTTGAATTTTGAAGTTCTGATACCATGGCATTCATTTTCAAGATGTGAATGTTTAAACAAGCACTGGCGATGCCCCAAGGCTGCTGGCTGTCTGAGCCGCAGCTGCTTGACAAGTCCCTTCCTTCAAGCCTTGATTCGATGGTGCATGTCGGCAGGCTTCTCAAACAGCTGTGAGTGACGTCAGACAGCAGCCCTGAGGTTGTGTCCATGCACAAATATTTCTGTTTAAAAATTTGGAATATAACCCTTAAAGAGCAATTACAAGGGATGTTTTTAAGGTACTTGTAAAGACACAAGGAGATGTTGAACTATTCTCAGAACACAATCACTTACCCTTTATGATGTAAACCAAAACGTATTGAGAAGTCACCGAATGTGCTACATTTGGCAACAGAGAGCTCATATTAAATGATAAACATGCTACAAACATTGACATCATGTTTTTTCTGGCTTAATCATTTCACTAAATAAAACAAACACTAGAACAAATCTCTTTGAGTGCAACATCTATACTGCCTGTGGGAAACACTGGACAGTCTGACACCCACAACTCACCTGGGCTCAGCTCCACCAGGTAAGGGAGCTTCTCAGGAGGTAGAGAGCTGTGGAGAGGGACATCTACTGACCTCCCTCTGGATACCTTCTCTTCTGGCTTACGAGCTTTCTTTGGAATGTAATCAGGAGGGCGTTTCTTCAGTTGAAACACTAAGGCTCCTGAAAGAAAATCCACAAATTCTCCAATGCACCAGGAGATGGAAGTGCAAGAAGAGGTCCAGAAGAAACTACTTGATCACAACACAGATGCAGAGTATAACACGGAGTGGAATTTACCTGTACTTGTTACAGTTGATATGTTCCTGCAACTTTCTTTTCTCAGTTTACAGTCTCAGTTTAAAACGAAAATGTAGCTAAATTAATTTGAATGATTATGCATTGTATTTAGGAAGACTTGGGCCCAATTACAACTTTTGACCTACAGTACATGCTAAGTGCAGATTCTAAAAAACAGGTAACTTCAAAAGTTGACATAACCCAATACAAAATCATAAATTATCAAGCTATCTCAAAAATGAAATAATAAAAAACATTATGTTAGCAAAAACTTTGTAGAGGAGAAACACATTTCTACAACTATTTTTAACAATGTGACATAAAAGTAATATTATCCCAGTATTGATATATATATACATGCAAAATGAAGACCAAATACAAAAATGAACCATGAGACATTGAGAATAAAAGGCAAGGATGGAAACAGATTTAAAGTAATAGTTCAGAGCTCAAACAAGTGTCTGTAACAGCGTTATAAGAGCAAATTTTTATTTCCCAGACCTCCTGGGAAAAACTAAGGTTGCTGCTGGAAGGTGTTAGTGGGGCCAGCAGGGGGCGCTCACCCTGAGGTCCACGTGGGTCCTAATACCCCAGTATAGTGACAGGGACACTACACTGTAAACAGGTGCTGTCCTTCGGATGAGATGTAAAACCGAGGTCCTGACTCTCTGTGGTCATTAAAAATCCCAGGGCGTTTCTCGAAAAGAGTAGGGGTGTAACCCCGGCGTCCTGGCCAAATTTCCTATTGGCCCTTACCAATCATGGCCTCCTAATAATCCCCATCTATGAATTGGCTTCATTACTCTGCTCTCCTCCCCTCTGATAGCTGATGTGTGGTGAGTGTTCTGGCGCACTATGGCTGCCGTCGCATCATCCAGGTGGATGCTACACATTGGTGGTGGTGGAGGGGAGTCCCCATTACCTATAAAGTGCTTTGAGTGGAGTGTCCAGAAAAGCGCTATATAAGTGTAAGCAGTTATTATTATTATTATTATTATTAAATGTACTGTAATTGTATTGGTAATGGCCTAATCATCAATGAACAACAGAAATACTGCAATAAAAGTCAAAGACCAACAAAAACTAGGAGAAAACCTTGGGTAAAATGGTAGGATGGAGTTAAAATATTTGCAGGAGATGTCTGGAATAGCTAAATATATTTTCATAGAGGAGTCTTGGGGAGGCTTTCACCAACTTACTTAAAATACATAGAATTTTCACCTGCCTGTTATCAGAAAGCTGCTTATTCCTGGTAAGTGTCATAAACAATCCCAGAGCACATCTTGGAAGCACAGGGCACAAGACGAGACCACACCCTGGACAGGATGTTAGTCCGTCAAAACAGCAAAATATACCACAGGGGAATAACTCTAGCCTTGCTTATGTGGCACATGAACAGCATTCCATCCCGTTTAACAGCTATGCTGCTCCTGACAAAAACACTATAGTTCCATACCTTTGTCACTAGGCCAATCTCTGAAAATTTGCAGGGGGCACTCGGTGTCATCGAGGATGGTCTCTTTCCCCCCCTTGTCATCTGACTGCTGAGACCCTGGGGGAAGCACCACCTGTCCAGACACCATTCACCATTCAAGAAAAAACAGATTATGTCAACATTCACAAAACATTTATCACAAAACCAAATTTTGCACAAGCTCCAAAATCACTATCAGCCTTCGGCAACACCACATCAACACCCACTAAAACATAACACAAGTGACAAACTCCAAAGCATTTCTTATTTGACCTTTGCAGGGATGTTCACAGGTCTACCCCGAACAGCTTTTTGTCATCAAGATGACATAAAGCCCAGTACTGTACTGACCTTATAAAACGCACAAAAGTTTGATTGGCAGGTTATATTACCAGTATTAACAGAATCATGCAATCAAATCATACTCACATTGGTTTATACTGCAAAATAGATGTTTCTAATAATTTAATTTATGCTTTACTGATGAACCAGCACTTGTAATTACAAACTCTTGAGAGCTACTGATAACACAAAGGTCACCTAAACAATGTTAAACTTTCAGAGTTGGAAGCTGTACAGCCTGCATTACTCTCTGAAGTGCTTTAATGTGATTGGCTCTGACTGGAGCTGTCAAGGGAAGGCAATAAAAGGGTGCTGCCATCAAAGGTCATCACTTTACTGGAGACATGTTTGTAACACAATGACAAGTCAGATTAACTGCAGCTACACACTACAGGAGCGCTCTCCCCCACTGTGCAATGCATCTGCTTGTTTGGCACTTTTGAAAAATGCAATTCAATTACCATCAGACAAAGATCTCTACCAAATGTCAAACTCATACTTTAATCTGCCCATCACAACCAAATAAAAAAAAACATGTGGCGGCAGTAGACAAGATTCAAAAGAACGACTATGCTAAGGTTTGTTTATGGTAGAAGCGCAGTATTAGCAATCTGTTCACGGAATAAAAAGGTGGTGTTCACTGAAAGCATTCAAATCATGAAAGGTAATATAAAAAAGTCAGATCACTAGATCACTAAGTTACAGTTTATGGGGATACTTCTTATGCAGTTCTGCACACTACAAGGGTAACAGCAGACAGAGCCTCAAGAACACAAATGTAACCTGGATGTTCATGAGAGCGTTCTGTGTTTACACGTCTGAAAACCTACAAGGATATCACTGCACAAAAGCGAGAACTGTAGCTTAAATAACTGTTCCACCCTGTAGTGATATATAAAGCTATAGTATACTCTTATACTCTTTTTTTCTGTCCATGAGATAAGCAAACACTGTCTTACATTGATTTATATAATAAAAAATAGATTCCAGGACTAAGGCGTTAAAGGTTGTGTTACATTAGACAACAAAACATTCAAGTAACTATAATCTATATTGAATAAGAATACCACAGTCCTACACCACTGCACTGCACCATGCACTTTATCCTGAGCTCATTTCTAACACCAGCAGAGACTGAAACTCCTACCCGAGCAATACAGTAGTCCCGGGGATTCTCCTTCTCTAGTCCATACTTCTCTAGAGCTTCTGCCACAGCAAAGTCAGCAGTGTCCGTGGTGGACAGAAGGATTGTCTTATAGGGAATATTTGGTTTAAGACTGTCCGCATAGATCCTCAGCGTCCCTCCTGAAAAATCAAATTAAAAAAAATGCAATAAATAGGGAAGTCAAGAGTGGCTTAACCAATAAAAGTATAAGTTGTGTCACATAAATCAGTGTAAATCCATTTCCCTTTGCTGTACAACATTGTTGGTCCAGCATTCGCTGAACATTATAACACTGCTTGGGAATTCATATTTAGTCAGTTTAATGACATTGACCAAACTGTCTAGATTCAAAAGGCAGGACTCTGGATAGTAGAAGCTTTCGGTAGTTGTGTCAGATGGAAGCCCTCAACACATCTTTGAATAAGGAGTCAGAAAGAATTCTCATGTCATATTGTTCCACATTCTCTCTCTCTGTGCAGCCCATCATGTGGGTATTACAACTCCTTTCAATTCTCAATTGAGTTATAATGACACAGACGGCATGTTTCCCCAAAATAAACCACTTGTTAAAGCACAACAGCAAGACTGAGATGCCTTAATGGCCAACCACTACCACAGGGTGAGTCAACCTATCTTTTCTACCTCCAAACATAGCTGTAAAGCCTATTCATTTAAATGGTGAGGAATGTAATACATGATATGCTATACAGCAAAATCTTTTTAAGAAGGTCTCTACTAAAGATTAGTATACTAATTTAATAATCTAAAATAACTGACATCAGTAAATATTAATACAAACAGAATTCAGTCAGTAATTCAGATTTTTCTTACATTTATACCAGTTTACTCAGACTTTTATTAGAAATTTCATTACAATATTGTTTATGTACCATAAAAACTGTGTTTTGTCTGCCTTTTAATTCTGCGTACTGTGGCCAAAGCAAAGAAGAAGTAAAAGAAGAAAAGTAGTCAAAAACCGGACCCTAGTCCACAACAACGCAACAGTTGAAATACAAAGCCACCGCAAAGGGGAGGAAATGGTGTATTTACTTCACGAACTCTGGGAAAGAATCCTACTGCCTCACCAAAGCTTTATTCTGAAAACATTGTTTTCATTTTGTTTTTCTTCCTGTCCCGCAGGAAATCCAAAGCCACATGGAACAGAATGTCTGCCATAATCATGCCAATTTATTGCTTAAAATTAGGACATTTACAAAAGCGGTTTTGGGCTGCTGAGCTGAGTCTTAACTTTGTGAAATTAGCATTTTCTCAGTATCAGGGCATCATTTCCAGCAATACCATCTGTTCCCAGCATGCTTCAGCCTGAGTAAGAGCTGAAGATGGACAGAGGGCAGTGTAAAAAGATAAAACAGTGAGATAACTGAGAAGCTGCAAAAGAGGTCCATCTACACTGCCTGAAACAGGACAGTAAACATACTGGCAAACTGTGTCACACCTGTGCTATTACTATAAGATTTTTTTTTTACATTATATATAGATGTATAAACTGTCAACCAAAATGATAAAAACATAAGTGAATTTAGAATGCACACTTAGTATTAAAGGACAAAAAATGAGCTGATGTCAGAAATAAACTAACAAGCTTCATTCATGCCATATTTCTACAAGTAAGCAGAATATCAGGAAATTATCATTTTTGGAAAAATCACAGCATACAATGGCAGTTACCTTTGGGCTAGCAGCACCTGTTCGATTTTAACGGTATTATTTGAAGCATAAAGAATCCCATCCAGGAAGATGAGATTGACAATTTACCAAATTCTTGCAATATGAAAACAAAGTACAGATTTTCAAACTATAATTAAGACAAAACTACAGAAAAGTATGTATTTGTTTAATTAAAAGTCCTGCAAACCACAAAGCTCCTGCAGATACAAAGATGGCTTTTTAATGGAAACTGAAGTACTGAGAAAGCATACATCCCCCTCAAGTTTACCAGAGTCTGGCCGTCCATCACTGCTCCGGAACTCCTGCATCCTCTTCTCCAGTTTCTGTTGCCTCCGGCGCTTCATGACCACCTCTGGGTTTGAGATGGTACGTGTAAAGCTCGTCTCTGGCATGTCTTTGTACACCTCAGCTGCTAACCTTGAGTTCTCGCTGCAAGAGAGACAACCAGACGTCACTAACTTTTAAACCCCTCTCTGGCTAAGGGACCATTGGGTACCCTGCCTCCCAGGGCCTCGTCTGTGTTATTAATGTTTCTTTACCAGACTGGCATTAACTCATTAGGTCCCTAATGTTTCACATCTTTCTTCTCCTCTGCTTCTGAAACTTAACAATAATTAGATCACTACTCCTCCAGCTTCATGACCAGTTCACAAGATAGGTGCGAGAAAGCTTGGAATTAAACACCCGGAGTTTTTATCTTCTAAACCATGCAGTGACCTTTCAGATGTTGCATGAAACTCTTGTGTAACATGTGAATTTTCATTTTCCATGCTTTTGAAGCAAATACATATGAATATTATATAATATATGTTTTATGCATAAATAAATATACTATTCTATATTAAATCATAATATATATAAAATAAAATATTCCTATTCTTTTCCCCAATTACCATGTAATTTCCACGTCCCTCTTAAACAAACAAAATTTCTTCCTTCATCAGATTTAGGACCTGGAATTACTGAAATAATTGAACTTATATGAACTTTTGCTGTTCCTGAGGAGCAACTGCATCTTCAATAAGGTTACAGGTACATATCCACATTTTTAGAATCCACACAACTTCCATCTGAGAAGAGTGTCCTGTAGATGGACTCAACAGTAACAGGTTAAGGTTAACAGGTAGTGTGGCACCTACCCATCCTCCCTATTTAAAGATCGTTCATCTCCATCAACAATACGAGGAAAGGCTTCCTTGTCTCTCTTTTTTTCCTTTTTCTTCTCTTTCTTGGACAGGGTCCTCTTGAAGTTTTGTATCACCCCCTCTTTCTCTTGTTTTTCTGGCCCATTACTCTGTGTTTTCTGTGAAACGGTGAGAAAAATGAAAAGGTAACACTATTAATAGGATCGAGAATTGCATTACAAGAGTGTTCATGACAAACCCATTCCTAGCCATTGGGTAAGAGCTCTGAAGCTTTTTTTTGTAGTAGCGCTAATCCCATGAAACATTAAAACTGCAGCCAAACTGAGTCTGAAGCTAATTAGGTAGAGAAGGTTTGTACCCTGTGTTGTCTCTGAAAGAAAAATCTGCATAATCAACATACAGGAGGACGAAATACAGAGAAAGCTATAAAGAAATAGAAACATGCACTGCACGTGTATATGAAAGCATCCTCATCACATCTATTAAATGCAGAAGCACTTTAACAGATCACGGAATGCATTCACTGTGAGGAATTAGTACAATAAGCAAGTTTAGTCTTTATTCTTTATTTCAGAATATATAAAAATATGTTATGCTTTGGCAGTCAGCAAAACAATGAACCAGTCTGCTCAGAGTCCAGACTGTCAATGTCTAAGATACTGTACAAAGGAAATAGCACAAAGGCCAAGTTTCTAACACTAGTAATTTCTATTACTAATTAATTTTGTATTTAACTAGTTTTGCTTGTCATCTGATGCGCTGTTGCTTATGAGGTTGTATTCCAGGTACAATACAAGCGCCGGAAAAACAATCTTCTGTCAGGTGTTCAGAGATAAATGATAGGACATGGGACGCGAAAGTGTATTATTGGTGCAAGATTTTTAAGATTAATGGCATCTGGGGAGTTAAAGTTTCTATTTTTTACTTATCAGCTCAGAAATGCTTTTAAACAACAAATGGGAACATGAAACATAATGTCAGTATTTCTTTGTATTTTAGCACACTTCCCTGAGCTTCACTACTATTAATACCATGTTAAGTATTTAGCAGCACTGTTGTGACCCTAATGCATTACACAGTCATTAATTTCAAGTACAAATGACGTACCTTTATAGTAGACTTTTACTGAGTTCTGTAAAAAATAACTTATGTACAAGTATGTATACAGTAAATGAAGAGCCAAGTTTGAATCAGCCTGGCCTGGAGTGCACAACCTACAATACAGCTCTGGAGTTCTTGTTACACTTCAAGTGGACAAGATCATTAACAGCTCTTTACTGCTCCCAGGAAGGAAACGCATCCAACTGATGTCCCTTATCAAACATTCCACTGAGGATTTTGCCAAAGCACACAGACTAGTCACATTAATAATAACAACAACAACAACAACAACAACAACAACAACAACAACTGCTTGCACTTATATTACGTTTTTCTGGACACTCCACTCAAAGCTCTTTACAGGTAATGGGGACTCCCCTCCACCACCAATGGCAGCATCCACCTGGAGCCATAGTGCTTCAGAACGCTCACCACACATCAGCTATCAGTGGGGAGGAGAGCAGAGTAATGAATGAATTCATAAATGGGGATTATCAGGAAGCCTTGATCGGTAAGGGCCATGGGATTGGAAATTTGGCCAGGTCACCGGGGTTACACCCCTACTCTTTTCGAGAAACGCCCTGGGATTTTTAATGTTCAGAGGGAGTCAGGACCTCGGTTTTATGTCTAACACGAAGGACAGCTTCTGTTTATGGTATAGTGTCCCTTCTCTATACTGGGGTTTAGGACCCACATGGACCGCAGAGTGAGCGCCCCCAGCTGGCCCCACTAACACCTCTTCCAGCTGCAACCTTAGTTTTTCCCGGGAGGTCTCCCATCCAGGTACTGAACAGGCTCACAGCTGCTTAGCTTCAGTGGGTTGCCAGTTGTGAGTTGCAGAGTGATATGGCTGCTGGCTATAATACATTAAGCAAACAAAATGAAACAACCAAATAACACGGTTTGCTTTGCAATAGAAGTACCTTACTGGAACTATACAGCAAGTAGTTCATTGATTGAAATTTTAAATCGCTACTCTTTTTCATTTCTCCACTTTGGAACAACTGACTGGTAACTCAGTTCAGATCACAGCCAAAAAATATGCAAGCATTCTTATCTGCAATAAGCAAAGTTCAGCTGATGACACTGAATCCAACATGGTTTCGATTTCTCAGTCTAAAGTCATTGGATGATCTAAGGCTTACACCATGTTACATATAGATATACACTTCGTTCTAAAGAACGGAAAACCCTTTCAGATGAGGGTGGGAGTGTTTAGCAACAGTCACAGCTGTAGTAGAATATGGATATTACTTTGGTCTTCATCCAATCACAATGCTACAGAAGGCAAACATGTCTTACAACTTTTCAATCCAACAGCTGTCCTTGTCTACTGATTTTGAATTTATACTGTATGTATAAGGCTTGTAAAGCTGTAAGATTGTTGTGATAGAATGAGAATCTAATTACCCAAGCAATATATTGGATCTTAAAACAGACTAGGATACTGCATTTATTAAAGTCACCTAACCCATGCATGAAATGATTCTCCTTAGGTTAGGGGATACTCTAATACTCTATTTACCTTCTATCTATCCTGAACTGGGACAGCAATATTCCCAGGATGAGGAGTCTTTTTATTCAATTACATTAAGAAAAAATACTTTACATATCATTCAATAGGACCCATGGCAGGTTCCCTCAAGACTTATATTATACCAATTATTTAATGAACACACTACATTACCTGACTATTAATTATCATTTAGTATTTAGTATTTTACAGTACATATACTGTACGTGTTTAGGATTTATTTAGACATTTATTTGAAAAATGTAATAGTAACATGATTTAGTGAATCAAAAGGTGGAAAACGTGGAAAAAGTCTTGGTTAACAGAAGATTTAAGGAAATCATTACTTTATTCTTCCCAAGAACCGTCATGCTGGTGACACCCCCACTCCCTCCCACCATGCTATGATCTCTCCTCACTTATTCCTGTACCCACAATGACTATACTCCTACACCACTACATACATGACAACTGAATGAATAACAGGAAAGCTCTGCTGTTTGTCTTCTGAACTTTCAGTTCAAAAAGAAGCACAGCGTCTGATGATGCAGATGAGGGATGTGCCATTTTCATTTCTACTGGGCTGGCACAGAGCTTGTTAACAGTGGGTCAGATTGAATAATAATAGGCATTGCAAACTTACCTATGAAGATGGGGAAATATTACCTCCATGTTTGAATTAATAAAAAAACAAACATTATGAAACAAGTAAGCAGCAACACTAACTATCAAATACCATCACACTACATTACAGGATTAAACCTCAAGAAAACACTTTACATTTTAGAACCATATTTCAAGCACAGGAAATCTAAAGAACATTTAATCCCAACCAGCGTTGTGTAAATCTGTAAAATTAACTCACGTCAATGTTGACCCTAAAAAAAGCCATTATTTACCATGCCAAGGCTGACACTGACTTCGGCGTCAACATCAGGCGTTCGTCACAAGGGTTACAAGAGGAGTAGGAGTGGCAGTGGCTTTACCTTTGGGGCAATGTCGTTTTCATTCTTTAAGACAAATCTGCCTTCCCTGTCGTCTTTGTTCCAATTCAGCTGCACCACCAGGGGCTTCTCATCCAGGTCCAGCTTCCGTTCTTCTGCCAAAGACAAAAATAGACAGCTAACCCAAACAATCCGGAGGTATGCCAGGAGCACAGGTGTCAGTGCTGTAACAATTTCAACCACTTCCGATATACACAACATTCCTCAAAGCATAAAATTAACATAGGAACACTTTCCCCAACTCATGCCCAGCAAAGAGTTTTCCACTTGATTTTTCTTTTTTAATGTCCTTTCATTAAGGATACTTTTAAAGGGTGATGTGTATTGACTCATACTTCTACACTTCTGTGGCAATTATAAATGCAAAAACATGTTTTTCTGACTTTAATAAGAAAAATAAAGCTTACCTCTACATACCTATGATAATTTCTTCAGCTAATCACATGAGAGCACAGTGGTAAAAATTAATTGTTTACTCTCTAAGACAGTTGCTCTTACTGATTTGTTTAGTTATCCAACAGGACGTTCAGTCAAAAAGACTACAGAAAGGTAAAAAGATGCTAGACGTTATTCTCTAAATGCAGCAGAGAAAAGAATGCAACAAATTAGCATATATAGTATAAAGAACAATACAGGGTAAAGGAATTTTAGATTTGTTTTACGAAAGTGAAATAGTATGGCAGTGGCAATGACCAATTGTAGCATTATGAACAGGTATTCATTTTCAGTTACTTCACAGTCCAATGCAGGGTAATGATGAGCTGGAGCCTAACCCAGCTAACGATGGGAAGAAGGCAAGATATGAAACACACACACACAAAAATATATATATATATATGATGCATGGAGACAGTATAGCGATATTAATTAATTTGGACAGAATATCTTTGGGAGGAAGCTGGGATATTAAGCGTGGACCCATTTGAACATGCAAACCCCACACAGAAGGCGCCCTAGGCCAGAACTGAACATACAGAGCCAGGAGGCAACAATAACACCCATCATGCTTCTGTGTTGTCCAAGTGCTGACACAAAATTACTTCCAATGAAAAAAGTGCATGTGTAGGTTATGCCTCAAGTCAAACTATCAGTTTGGACAATTGTACTGCTTAGTTCTTCCTTCAATAACGTTGTACTTTTCATTTAATACCCATCTAATTAATCATTGTTAAATGTTTCTTTTCTGCTTGGCTCATAGAATGATTCTCACAGCTTACAGAAGAAGAATAATGGGCAGACAAGCTCCTTTGACATGCCCACCTATCAAGCTGTTTATTCTTTTGAGATATTAAAAATTCCACGGGGCCTGCCAGAATGAGTTGCTGCTGAATTGAGAACCAGTATGTGTCACTGACATCAATGTAAACCTGAGGGACTCCAGGAAGTCACGGGAGGCACTTTGATTGAAAGCCAGGGAGCCCTGATCAGTAAATGCCCGTTCTGAGCCTCCACTTAGGGACTTCGGATCAAGGAAGCACCTACACCAGTTGAGTCAACCAGGAGCCCTCTGACTGTTCAATGTTTAAGTGGTCTAATAAAAAATATAGTCTTGAGCACTTCTGTGATGGCAAAAATGAACAAACTAAGAGAATGCTTCATTACACAGCCAAGCTTAGCTATTCATTCAATATATTTGGGAGCCACTAGCACAGCAGATCAATTTTCCATCTATTAATTATCAGACAGATGCTAAATCCTGGGTAAGCAAGCCATAACCTAGACAAACACAGGACACAAAAAGAGACTAGGATCATACTAGACTGCTCTCTCCCTAGATGGGATGTCAGATGATTACAGGGCCAGCAGGAAAAAGACAACTAAGACTAGCTAATCAAACCTCTGTGTTACTGGGAGCTGGGGAGGAACTGGCAAACAGCCCCATATATGATAGAACAACAATAACATTTCAAAGTAAGTGATTTATCCATTTATGCATTTTCTAATTGCTTCTTCAAATCCAGGGTTGCAAGAAAGCCAGAGGCTATCCTGGCAAGCAACGGGAGCAATGCAGGATATGCCCTGGATGGGACACCAGTCCACCACAGGGCATACAGCCACAAACATAGACACTCACCGGGGCCAATTTTCTCAGTCCATCACAGGGTAGGCACAGACAACAAACATGCGCACACAAGCACACCAGAGTCATTTTTTCCGGAAGTCAGTATTTGGAATCCCACGAAAACATGTAAATATACAAACTCCATGCAGAACTCCATGTTCCCCAGTTCTGGAGGGATTATCCTTCATTCTAGAGGAAAATGTGAAACTATCCATCCAACGGCTAAAGCTTTGTCAATAGATGATCATGCAACAGGAAAATGATTGAAACACACCAGTAAATCTATGATTGAATTGCTGAAATACCAAAGAATCAGAATTCTGGCTAAGCCAAGTCAACCAAGTCAAAGCTCAGACTTCAATGCCATTGAGATACTAAGGAGAAACCTAAAGAGCTGTGCATAAGCGAATTCCCTCAAACATTACCAAGCTGAAGCTGTAAGGAAGAGTGGGACAGAATTCCTCCCAGGTGATGCAAGAGAACTCTTACAGGAAAAATTAACTTTTGTTGCTTAAGGGGGTTCCACATTTTATTTAATGACATGTTACTTTTTCACACAAGGCTACTGAATATAGGCTGATTTTTGTTCAATAATGATAAAGTAAAATTTATGTGTGTTATCGGTCACCTGAGGTTAGATTTATCTACTGCTAGGACTTTGTGAGGATTAGATGAAGGCGAAATATGTTTTTATATATAACCAAATTGAGCTGTTCTTTAAACAAACGTTTTCTGAAGGCTTGGATTGTGTCTGCATTTTTGACGACAGCAGAAATTTGGACACCCTCGCCCCACCACAAAGTGTGACACTTACCCCCGCTGACATGAACTTCATACAGTGAGTACTTTGGGGATGACAGCATCCTCATGTCAGGTCGGAACTTCTCCGCCAGCGTCTCTATTACATCTTGTGTGGTGGCTGTGCTGGATACCCGGATGCATTTGGTGGCGAAGTTTCCTGCTACTCGGTCTTGGAAATAAAATCTCATCACCCCATGGAATTCCAGGTCCTGTCAATTACAATTAAAATTACAATTACAATTAACTGTCTAGACCTTTCACTTCTGAAATGGTTATACAAGATATAGCTTTGATTATCTCAGCAAAGGCCACTTCCTGGTTTTACTGCAACAGTTTCCATTTAGATGGAAATATCCATCTTTAATTTATTCAGCTTGAAAGCAGTGTACATTTAGAAATTATTTTACTCCTGTCTATAAAGAAAGATTACATAAAGCAAAAAGTTCTCTTAATCTATGTTTTAAATGCATACAAACACTATGGTGTGGAAATGAATGCCAGAAACAAACCAGCTTCATATCACAGATGTACAAAGAATATTACTGAATTTAAATTAAAGGTAAAAGCTATCTGATAGCAGTGTATTCTTAGGTGTTTAAATGGAGTGAATATCCACGGAAAAAAAGAAAAAGTATTTCAGAACATTAAGAACATTTAAATCTTAACACTGTTAAACAAAAGCTTTATTATAGTGATACAGACCTATATTCATGGTAAAGTTCACTATCTTCAGTTAAACAACTTCATTTGTTGTGTAATCCTGAGAGATGTAAATGTTGCGGGAAAAACAAAAAATAAAAAGCAGCCATAAGAAACTGTTTTGCTAAGGGACAAGCCCTAATAGATATTGTTTTAATTATTGGTAACTTTCATGGGCTTGATTTTCCATTGTGAAAAATAAAACTGTGGGAAAACTAATTCATGAGCCATATCTTCAGATAATAGTAAAAAAAATACTAAAGCCAGTCTGCTTTTAAGCACATCTGCACAGTAGTGAAAATGCAGAAGTCCTGATAAAATTTCACAGGCTAACATTCAAGGATTATACAGATATATTTAAACGCCTATGTACACATGCACAGTGTTTAGGCACTTTACAGGGTAAAAACAAAACTAAACCCCCCAAAAATAAAATACAAATTGCATTATATACAAATAAAGGAAAAAAGACAAAAAAAAACATTCAAACTGTTTATCTCCAAGGCAAAACCTGCTAGCTAACCTGTATAGAAGAAGTAGGAAGCAAACCTAATTATATAGAACTATAATTCTGATACAGAAGGATATATGCAGTCAGTGCCCTTTCAACACATTGCCTTACAATTTTGGGACAAACAGTAGAATGAATTAGAATAAAAAAGCCCTTTAAAGGTATCCTTTGAGTTCAAAATTTCATTATTTCTATTCAGCATCTTTCAAAAGGACCCAGTTCTATTTCAGGTAGAGTACAGTACTCCAATGCTATGTCCTCCAGAGTGAACACTTTTGTTATTACTAGTAAAGGTAACACTGTAAATGTCATCCACAAGCAATGCATGAAACTGTTAAACAGTAAAGCGAGAAAATATGGTGCAGTGGGTAAAGCACACACAAGACCGTTCCAGACTTCACTTTTTATCTGGCCTGCAGGCAGACACCAAAAGCCTAAGCAGACTCCCCTCGCCCACAGGAAAGAGCATCAGCGTGTTCAGAAATAGACATAACCGCATAGCACCTTGCAGATCCAGACAGTCACGACTTTCACAAGTGCAGGTGAATCAAGGGCATTGGATACTCTCAAGATACACCTGGCATTAAACTCAACCCCATCTACTTTCATATTTCTCTATCACTGCAGAATTCAACATACATTTGCAAGCTTTTGTTATGATTTTAAGCCCTTTCAACTTAATGTGCCTGGTTAACTAGCAGATAATGCTAATTATCAAAAAAGACACCACTGCTTGTTATCATATTTATGTTGAATTACAGGATATGCCTTATATGACAGAAGTCTAAAGAGTTCCAGTAGTTTGTTCATGTTTGTACTGTTAATGTGCTCTACTATTTGTCTACATTATACCCAACATATCTGAATTTGCCTTTAATGGATCCTCGATAATGGCGTTAAAGCAGGAATGGAACAACACATTTCACAGTGCTGCTCATATAACTGTGTTTGCAAGTAAGAAACGTGTCAACAAAAACACCACTGACAGATGCATAAAATGACAGATGAATTAAAGTTATTTTCAATAACTGCTTAATCCAAAACATGGGGCATGCCAAGCTGGAGCCTAACGTGGCAGATAATGGACACATTGTTGATTATGAATGGCAATGAGAGGAGGATGGCCTTGTTTCGAATAAGCTGACACAGCTCAACCTGCAGCCCTGAATTCAGCCACCCAGTGCAATGCAGAGAGCAGTACTGTTCTATAGGGAGAAACTAAATTTGGCAAGTCTTAAGAAAGCATCAAAGTGGAGCATTCAGCACTCTATTAGACACCTCTGGAATGGAAATATGTATATCCTACTACCACACAGACAGAGAGAATATCAGGTCTTATCATTGCAGTAAACACATTGAAAGGTTACATCAGAAAGACCACTGAATCAACATGCTAAACTCTAACCTTCACGCTTGCTTTAGCACAGATGCTTCTACTTCTCTGTATTAAACTCCCATCTTCTATACCAAACTTCCTGATAAGGAAGGAATGTTTTAATTGCTCTCTGAGTCCTTGAGTTTCTTGAGAAGGTACCTCAAAGACAGGAGGGGGGGTGTAGAGAAAAGTATATATAAGCTGTGTTGAGCCATAACCCCTCTGAGAAATACAACAATTGCTCCTTGTATGCATACAATAAAGCTTCGCTTGAAGAACGGACACTTCAGGCTCAAATCTCTTGGTTTCTACAATTTGGGGCTGCAAGAAGGCTACTTAAACGACATGAGACTTTCCCACCCAGAACCGAGACAGAATTCTGCGCACAAAATCAGAGGTAAGGACTCCTCTTTCCAAAGGTCCTGACTCTCTCATGCCTTGTCCAAAGAGTACCGCCTGAGTGTAAGCTTGCTGAGCCAGCAGGTATTCCCCTGGCCCAAGGGAAGACACTGGTGCAGTGGTGGGTTGGTAGCTCTAAGCCCAGGGGCGCTTCATTGTTTTCAGAATGGATAAAAAGTCATGTGATAGAAAGTGGGAAGGAGATAATGTGTACGCTTTTAGATGCTTTCTTGTTTGTCAACACATACATACACATAACACTCAAACATAAACACACCTCATAATAAAAGAGCGAATCACTCAGTAGCAGGATTAACAGGACATGTTGGGAGCCAAGAATAGCTCTGACTGGAGCCCAGTGCTTAAGTCCACCCCGGGGCAAAAGCAGCAATGCTGGCATTCTGGGGATGGTGAATTACTGATCCAGGAAGAGGGTTGCTTGTGCTCTCGTTCCTTACCTGTGAACAGTGAATTGTAAGCCCTCTCTAGAGACTGAGAGGCATTTAGATCTGGAGGTAACAGACGCCCCTAGTTGCATGAGTGCAGCAATGCACAGGTTTTCAAAGTGAAAAGCACCTGCCTATGAGCTGCTACCTCACACGACACAGTAAGCCTTCAGAAACTGTACATGTGTGTTAACTGACTGCTGGAGGAAGCGGTGGAGGTATGTGATTATGCATCAGACAAATGCAAGTTAAAGGATGTGAGGAAAAGCTGGAAAAAAGGTAGAGACTGTCAGATGGTGTTTGGTCTGAACAGTGGTGTAAGGATAACAGATGGATATTGGAATAAGTGATGTTGTGTTTATGAAACGTTAGGCAGTTAAAAGAGATACATGTAGAGGTAAAACAAAATACAGTGCATTTACACTAAAACCAAAACTATAATGTTCATGAGGCATAACACATAATCCAATAACTTAAGGGTGTAGTACAAAAAGTATTCCAGGTGTATATGTATTTTATGAATTTATGTGCCGGTGTGTGAGTGTGAGTGTGAGTGTGAGTGAGAGACCTCAGTACGTAACTGAGTTTGGTACAGAAAATGGTGTTTAGGTAGCCAGACTGGCTAGAGACTTAAATAAAAAGACTTGACTATAACAAATAAAAAGCAACTTAAGTGACTACAAAATATAAGAGTGTCTAAAATGTATAAGTACAAATACCAGCACAGCACAGGTGGACATAAATGATTAAAATTAATTGAAAGAAAAGTGGAAATATATGGAGACAGTGCAGTCCCACAGTGGTTAACATTTGTGCTCTATACTGCTTAGCCTTAGGTTCGAAGGGGTGATTCCTCATCTGTAATTAAGCAGATTTATTTGAGTGGCTTGAAATCAGATACTGCTAAAACGTTGTAGATTCAGAATCATGACTGCTGGATAACGCCACTGTGAAATTTGCAGAATTGGCTAGACTCTGTCTACAGATTGAGAGAAATATGTACGCTAAGGTGTGTAAATAGACAGGTTGACTGGGGGAGATGTCCAGTGTGCAATTGTAAAAAATAAATTCAGGTCATTTTAAGAAAAACTGCAGAAAGCGCATGCAGGATGAAGAAAGCCCGGACCTACCCTGAGCCTCAGCTGACAGGGAAGAACATGAAAAAAATTTACTCCCAGCTAAGAGATTTATTCATGGTTTTATTGCAACAGTTTACATTAAGATGGAAATATCCATCTTTAATTTATTCAGCTTGAAAGCAGTGTACATTTAGAAATTATTATACTCCTGTCAATAAAGAAAGATTACATAAAGCAAAAATGTCTCTTAATCTATGTTTACAGCTAAACACATTAAATGCATACAAACATTATGGTGTGGAAATGAATGCCAGAAACAACCCAGCTTCATATCACAGATGCACAAAGAATATTACTGAATTTAAATTAAAGGTAAAAGCTATCTGAGAGCAGTGTATTTTTAGGTTTTTAAATTGAGTGAATATCCATGGAAAAAAGTAAAAGTATTTCAGGACATTAAGAACATTTATATCTTAACACTGTTAAACGAAAGCTTTATTATAGTGATACAGACCTACATTCATGGTAAAGTTCACTATCTTCAATTAAACAACTTCATTTGTTGTATAATCCTGAGAGATTTAAATGTTGCAGGAAAAACAAAAAATAAAAAACAGCAAAGAGAAACTTTCTTTCTAAGGGACAAGCCCTAATAGTTATTGTTTAAACTATTGGGAACTTCCATGGGCTTGATTTTCCA